CTGCTTGACCTACAATGCAAACATTATGACCAGCGGCATTACACACTAAATCCTTGACATTTTCCCGTGGTAAATTCACAAACTGAGCCATGTTTCCGGGTACCGTTGTGCGCATGCGCGCCTTTGCGTGATTTGCTTTATTCTCGCGAGATAAGGCGCTCCGTCCCCTTAAATTTTTATTTTGAACAACCATTATGATTTGGTGCATTATCTGACCATTAAAGCAGATTTGGAGGTATGAATATTTTTTTATTTTTCTGTTTAGTGTTTTCTACAGGCCCTATGTGTCTCAGGATATTTGTTTAACGAAAACTAGACAAATAATTTATTTTAAAAATACATATTTTTTATTTTGGATGGAAGCTGCGTAACCTGACAAATAATATAAGTAATATATGGAGGACTTCCCATAACCGTTCATATAGGTCACTAAGGTAGTTTCCAATTCATCCATATTCTATAATTGTGTTTCTAAAGACCGATTTAGTTTATAATTGTGTAATTACTTTTAATTACAAGTAATGATTTAATCAAGTAATCAGTTATTTAAAACTAAAAAGCATTCTTAATAAAATATATTTACTTAATTATAATGGAAGATGAGATCCTTTTTTCCTTCGACCTTGCATGCAGGCTGATGTCCTCATGATGCACAGTGAATAAGTTGATGAATTATTATTATTATGTTTATTAATCCATCATTTTTGATGAGTACATTTTATAATTTAGTTTAGTAACATATAATACATATGAAATTATCATTTTCATTTATACATTATGTGATGTGAGATAAGATTTATAGTACAGATTAAAATTACATGTATATTACATTTGTGTGTTATTTTGTCAAAAGTTGACTATCAGACCACTTATGCCTCATTTGGACGCATAGTGTACATTTTAAATACGGTTGTCACAATTAAGATTAGTTCATTGTCATCTAGGATCTGACCTTCGTCGAAAATGAAATTAAGTTTTTGATTGATGTTATTAAATTCTACAACTCCATATTCCCTCATCAAGTCCATTAATGGAGTTCGCGCTTCACTTAAAGCCTCACATTCAAATAACATATGGGATAACGTTTCTATACAATTCTCACACATTTGGCACAGTCTAAGATAAGTTGGTGTATTATTCCAACGGCCTACATTTACTTGGAGGTTTCCCTCTCCTACCAGAAGCATTACCATTAGGCGGCAATGTTTCACTAGTCTAGGGTATTTCCGAGCAACTACCCACCATGAAATGGGCTTGATCTCTGTTACAACATCTCTGTAAACATTGAGTTTTCTATACGTTAACAACTTAAAATGCCACTCATTGATATGATAGTCTTTAAGTTTTTCAATGACCATTCGTTTCCACTGTAACTTACAGGGTACAATTGCAAATTTTACCATATTCATAACGTTCGACCATAAACCGTATTTAACACATGTGTTCAATATGTCACGTAAAGGAGACTGTACATTAAGGTTGGCAGCACTCATTTGAATGATACGTATGATGCAAATTCTTCTGTAAATGTTCCCAATGGGCAATGCTAAAAGACTCCATAAGAACAATAATTTCATTAGACTGATCTTGTACGTTATGTTATGCCAACCCAATTGTGCCAAGACAGCTGGATCACTTGTGTTCTTAGGTAGTCCTTGGCATTTCTTGGCAATAGCTCTATGTCCATCCTCTAGCTTCCTGTAGTCATTCTCATGCAGAGGAATTACTTCAAAACCGTAAAGCATAGAGGGAATGGCTACTGTCCAATACAGCTTTGAAATGGTAAGGGGGTTAGGTGGATTCGTAGGGCTCGATGTTACACCTACGTACGCATTGATCGTCCTCCTGCCCTTGGCTATCCGATCATCTATGAACTGGTTAGTCGTCGGTGATAAAGGGAGACCCAGATGCTCTATTTCTGACACAGTCGGGATAATATCGCCACCTATTGTTAAGTCACATTTTAATACATTTCTTCCTTTACTGAAGACTATTGATTTACATTTATTTGGATGAAAGCTAAATCTCCACTTTACACTGTATTGATAAAGTATGTGAAGCAGTTGTTGCATGATAGACTTGTGATACGCTATAAGAATGGTATCATCTGCGTATGTTGGGATCGTTGTAGTAATTCCACTTATTGTTGACCCTAAACCACTGTCACATACCTCAGTTATCAGACCATGGGTGTATTTTGAGTACAATTCCATACTATAGATTCCTCCTTGATGAACCGATTGTTCGACAAGGAAGGGCTCGGACATCTCACTACAGCCGCCAATCCGTATAGCACAGGTATATCCATCATATGCATTTCTTAGGATTCTCCAGAGTTTGCCTCTTATTCCTTGTTGGTACATCTTGTACAACAGCCCGTTGTGATAAATTCCATCGAAGGCTTTTCTAATGTCTAATGCCACAACGATGACGTCATTGCCCCTCTCTAGGCCGTAGGCAATGGCTTCCCGTGTTACAAGTGAAGTATGTAAACTGGAGCACCCCAAGAAATGGGTTTCAGATATTCAAACTTGCTTCAATAAGTCTTGAATTGAACAAGCTTCCATAGACTATGGTATATAACACATGGTGGAATGCGATCTAGGATTGGTGATTGGCGGGGGCGGTCATTATGAAACACCCTGTACAGGGTGATTAGAAATCTGGCCGCCTTGGACATGTTGTTCAAAATGCTGTAACATGTTGCTTTCAGGCTAATGGTCATGGAATATGTAGGCTTGTTGGAAATGGGATGATATGCAAATGGGCCAACAGAGAGTCGATCTTAAAATATGGGGAAAACCCAGGCTTGCCGTTTTTACTTCCCCGTACTTTATATTATAGTTTTATTATTTATATCTAATCAGAAGAATGTAAATTTTGTTTCAAACAAAATGGTAGACAGATGTGACTTTGGTCTGACTTAGCTTGATATACGGGCAATACTTTGTTTTGTTCCGAATCAATTTTTATGATACAAAACATTTCATCGTGGCATTTCAAGAGAAACCTCAAGCCACTTAATTAAAGTACAATGCTTAAGCTTCCCTTTCCACCATTACAGCATTAATGAATGATCTGCAGTACATATTCACCGGTTGTTTCTCGAATGGAGCTTGCGATAATTAAATAATAAATGGACTGGTTTGGAAAACGGCTTTACCCATGATATCAAGTGACGTGATGCAAAATTTGCTTGTTCAATTCAAACACAAGGATTGCATTCTTATTACGAGGCTTTTTATTATACTTCTAGTCCCCCTCACATATGAACGAATCCATTAAACGCAGCCTTGCGAATTGGGTAAATTGTAAATTAAAGCGCCTTGGGAACGTTACCATGCCAATTAAATCGTCACTTTGCGCACGCTTCCGAAGCCGTCCGTAGATTCTATTCGTCAGTGCACGTCCGTTTATATGTGATAGTCAAATACTTTTTTCCCTTGAATTTTAATGAAATATAGATTATTTGAATAAATCTAAAAGAAACAGAAATAAAAGAACTGTTTTATTACAATTATTATCTTTGTTGATAATGAGGATGTACTGTGAAATGTGCAACTAACATGGGTTGTTTCTCAACAGTCCCTAAACATGAATCTGTTTTGAACAGTGCCTAAACATGGGTTTGTTTATGGAGAGTCTCTAAACATGAATCTGTTTCGGACAGTGCCTAAACATGGGTTTGTTTATGGAGAGTCTCTAAACATGAATCTGTTTCGGACAGTGCCTAAACATGGGTTTGTTTATGGAGAGTCTCTAAACATGAGTCTGTTTTGAACAGTGCCTAAACATGGGTTTGTTTATGGAGAGTCTCTAAACATGAATCTGTTTCGGACAGTGCCTAAACATGGGTTTGTTTATGGAGAGTCTCTAAACATGAATCTGTTTCGGACAGTGCCTAAACATGGGTTTGTTTATGGAGAGTCTCTAAACATGAATCTGTTTCGGACAGTGCCTAAACATGGGTTGTTCCTCAACAGTCCCTAAACATGAATCTGTTTTGAACAGTGCCTAAACATGGGTTTGTTTATGGAGAGTCTCTAAACATGAATCTGTTTCGGACAGTGTCTAAACATGGGTTTGTTTATGGAGAGTCTCTAAACATGAATCTGTTTCGGACAGTGCCTAAACATGGGTTTGTTTATGGAGAGTCTCTAAACATGAGTCTGTTTTGAACAGTGCCTAAACATGGGTTTGTTTATGGAGAGTCTCTAAACATGAATCTGTTTCGGACAGTGCCTAAACATGGGTTTGTTTATGGAGAGTCTCTAAACATGAATCTGTTTTGGACAGTGCCTAAACATGGGTTTGTTTATGGAAAGTCTCTAAACATGAGTCTGTTTTGGACAGTGCCTAAACATGGGTTTGTTTATGGAGAGTCTCTAAACATGAATCTGTTTTGGACAGTGCCTAAACATGGGTTTGTTTATGGAGAGTCTCTAAACATGGATTTGTGTTGAACAGTCCCAAAACATAAATCTGCTTCTGGATAGTCCCTAAACACAGATCTGTTTTGGACATTCCCTAGACATGGGTTTGTTTGTGGTGAATCCCTAAACACGGGTCTCTTTTGGACAGTGCCTAAAAAGTCTCACACATACATACGTACTACGTATATTAAAATATGTCCAGTAAAAGAAAATATTATCTATCCGACACTAGAAAAGATATTTCACTTTTTGTGGTTTTACAACATGGGGTCTATGGGGAATCTCCCCGACCTAGAAGTCACATTTTCAAAGAAAATTAAATTTTCAAAGTTGATAAACTCTTTTCAAAACCACATTTTTAAATGTAATTTTACATGTAGATTCCAAATATGACATCAGTTTGACTGAATTTTCAATTACGTAAATCAAGATTTTTTCTACTCGCACCTGGGATATTGTAACCAAACAACTAAACTAAACAACGCGGAAGTGTAAATTCGGTAAGTTTACGACACTAGAATCTTTTGAAACTTTAATATGATTTATGGTTAGTGTAACTATTTATTTTGCATGTTGATACGATATCAAGATAAATGTCAGGCATTTTGACATTAAGTAGTTAACATATACTTATGATTCCTTTGATTGTTTAAAGTTAAAAACTTACAGAAGTGCATCGTGAACAAGTGAGTAGGTCATTGAAACTACGATTCATAGTTAGTGTATGTAGAACATACAAATAGGAAAACTTGCCTAAAAATGTATAAAACTGTGAGGATTATGCTTATTGTTTACTTCTACTATGCTCTTATACTCGGCCTGTGGCTGAAGAAAAGAGAGCGGCGATGGTCTGCAAGGATCGATTATACATATATGGACGGAACACTAATCGGGCCAATTTGGAGGAATGTAATATCACCAGTTGTGGAATGGACGCAGATAAATCAAAGAATGATTGTTTGATGTATGCTAGCACTTTCGGGTCTTTACAAGATACTACCAAACACGGGCTGTCGATCCAGCTGGTTGTTAAGTCAATATTCTATTCCGATAATTCAAGGGTGTGTCGGGATACCTGAAGTATGGATATGGATCATTGGACTGTTTAGTGACAACTCTCTTGATCCGAAGTTCCTTCCATACGTGCTAAATAGCCCACATGACGTTGCACCTAAAATGACGGACATATACAAATTCTTAATCATCTGGGTGAAACTGTCGATGATATCAATAGTTATATATGGAATGTATCTGACAAGAAAAGCTGTTCAGTCTCTTTGTGCAAGTGATGACGAACTAAAAGGTGTACAAACTCTATCGGATCGTGATGTTCTTTATTCTGTTGTCATTTTGTTCATCGGCACTGTTGTTTTCTGGTCATTTCCTGTTATTTTAATTGTACGTCAATACTTTACCTCCAGTTTCTCAATATACGACAGTTTATCGGATCCAATATGTTGGCTTTTCTTGTTATTTCTTTTGACGACATTATTTGGGTTACTAACGCAGTTGCAGGAATTCCATGTTAAAGTCTTCTTAGTTGGTGCGTCAATGCTCATTGTCAATTTATTGTATCAGGAGGTGTATCATTTTTACCTTGTTGGCGACATTTATTTCATTAGCAGTAGTCATTGGATTATATTACACTACCTGTGTCATTATGCCACACTCGATCACCTGAGTACAAACGAGTATTCTGAGGGGTATAAGGCATATGATGATGTTGCAGAGCATTCTTCTTTAAAACTAGTTTATTACATTCAGGTAGCACTTGGAATCATTCAGACATGTTCTTTGTTCAATATTTTGCGATTTCTACTTCAGTGGTTCAGTAAACCAGGTTTTGATTTTGATATTTATTTCGTAAGTTTGATATCTGCTCTTCGAACGGGTCTTACCTCCATGGTACCTAACATTTTCTTTTTGGTCATTGTCTTTGGGTATAGATTCGAAGGTTGGTTACGCTTCCTACCAATTAAAATATGCCTTCCTTTCGCAATGAGCCACAGTGCATTTAGTTTTACTTACGATTTCTGGACGCCACATACCATAATGAGACAACAATTGAAAGCAATTACCCTGATGATAGTTTACTACCTCTATAAATTCAACATAACTCCAGATGAAATCAATTTCCTCTTCGCTGATATTGTTACTATGGAGGTGTTCCTCATATCAGTCAGGGTGGCGTTCACATTTCCTGATGGCACTTCTCCCGTGGATGCATTGGAGAGTATACACTGGTCAAAACTATTGGACACTGAGGAATTTAGTACTGCCACTCTGTCATCTAGTTTCCGTTCATACATGATGCACATATCCTCTGATTCTGAAACAAGTGCTGCCCAAAAAGCAAAACATCCGAAAAAAACTCGAAACTACAGAAGGACGATATCAGCCCCTGTCAGTTTACAAAGAGGTAGATTTAAAACTCAATTACAAATCTAGGAGTAATATAAAATAATGTCATTTTCGTTTTAAAACGGGACATTAGTATGCCATTTGCTATCAGTCAGTCCATCAATTTTTACATCAATGCTACAGCGTGACCGGAAAAAAGGAGACCATTGAAGTAGGCAATATCTCCTGAATTAGACAAGTGACATCACTGAAAATTTGTACACCAGAATAGTTCTATGGAAATTTGTTCCTGAAAGTTTCAATATAACCAGTCAACTGGTTCAGGAACTGTGATCATTTACACCACATGCTCCAAATGGCCACAATTGAGCAAAAGGCAGAGCTGGAGTCATATGGCAAAATTACCCGTACCCCATTCAACCCTTATCATGTCACCACAAAAAGTGATGACATATTGTTATGGTGTCCGTTTTTTGACGGCGGTTGGCGATCGGCGGTCGGCGTCTGTAACAAATTCTTACAACTTCTAATTATTTAACAAATACTGTATGGAATGACTTCAATTGATATCAAAAGCATCTACATGTTTTCAGAAGTTCAAATCTGACTTTATATTTAAGATTTGACCTTCAATGACCTTTTCAAGGTCGAAAAGGTCTTTTTTCAACTTGCTTCAAATTGACCAATTTTTTTCATAACCATCTACAAGTTCTCAACATTTCAAATCTGACTGTAAAGGATGAGTCTGGGAATGAGTCTGGGTATCGACTTAGAAAATATTGAAAATTGTAATGTCTGAAAAATCAACTCAATCACACATATTATTAAACTTCAATATCTTATCCTTCTTCTGAAATTACAAAAATATCAATTTGTATCACAATTGATGAAGAATATTGGCATCAAAGACAATGCATATCACTTTGCTAGAATTGAAAAAAAATCAATGGCAAATATTAAATGAATTGTTTATACAAAAAGTTTGAAACATATCCTCCAAAACATTGCTTACTTTCTTTTTATAGACACTGAATGGTATTTCTGGATAAGTGAATTAGTGTTTATCTGGGTAATCAAGGGATTATAGTCACTCAAATTTACCGAGCATCCAGTTTTGGCACTTCAATTGTGTTGGTGAAGTTACACATATTTCAGTCAAATTCATGCTGAGCACAACATTTTGGTTTCAATTTTATAATCTCTATACATGACCCTGGTGATGAAGAGTCAGAATCAGTCAAAAAACCTAAACCGGAAAACTGTGCTCATTGTGAAAACTAAAAGTCAAGCAACTTTTTTTCTGATATTTCTTGCATCAAATGGCAGCCATCTTGTTTTTCCCCCTTCAAATAACACTGGCGGGAAATTCAAAAATTTGAAAAAAAATTTAATCCTTAAATATTTTTCAAAAATATGATTTTCTTTTTAATTCTTCATGGGTCTTAAGTTATTTCTTCTTTGTATGTCACACATGTCGCCACTGGTGCTTTTTTCTATGATAATGACTATTTTTGTTGTTGTTAAGATACTTATTCTGACTCTCAGCAGGGGGTTAATTATGCATCAAAACTCGTGAAAAAGTAAATATACTTATCAAATATATCTAGGACAGTAATAAAAACCATATTTCACATCAGAAACAAGTCAAATTCTTTACTTCAGAGAATATTTATTAATTTATTGAGACTTTCGACTAATAACCCTATACATGTATACATGCTGTTATATTTTGAAAAAGACTAAGGGATATTAGTCGAAAGTCTCAATAAATTAATAAATATTCTCTGAAGTAAAGAATTTGACTTGTTTCTGATATATTAACCAGAGAGATGAACTTACATAGAACCATATTTCACATTCATTTGACTGGGGGACCAAAAGGGCATATATCCAGACACATCATTTGACATTCTCAATGTCAAAATAGAATTGACCTTTAATGACCGCCTCAAGGTCAAAATGTCTTTTTCATCTTGCTTCAACTAGGTGGTGACATTTTGTAATGTTAATGTCTTGTTATGGCATAACATTAAGCAGTGATTGCCTTCTTTAGGTCAGCAATTGTCTGTGGATTGTTTTGGTATAGATTGTCTTTCAAATAGCCCTACAAAAAGAAATCAGGTGGATTCAAGTTTCACCTGAAACTCAGGGCTGAGAAGAAATGAGATGTCATGGTTTATCATGATGCCATATAGTGGTTTTGGTAAGCTGGCACTGACATCCAAAAAGGAATACTTACACCAGTGAAACAATTGCAAATAACGAAGTCTCTAGGGATTTTCCAAAATAGAATTGGCGGATTTTTAATTTGGCGGTTTTTTTCAATCCACAAATCCGTCAAATTAAAACGGTAGCCAAATTAAGTGTATCTACATATTAAAACTTTCAGAAACAAATTTCAATAGAACTGTTCTAGTGTGTGCTAAATTTCACCATGTCAATTGTCTAGTTTATGGGATATTGTCTACTTCAATGGTCTCTTTTTCTGGCCACCCTGTACTTTTCGCGTTACCTCGTTCAAACTACAGGATGGTAAAAACGGAAATCCTGTAGATTTGCCATAACTTTATAAAAGAAGAATCCAAACATTTTTATATGCCCGTACTTGAAAGTCCTATCCAAGAAAATGCAGCGGTCGATTTGAAAAGAGCCCCTCCTGCGTTGAACCTTATTTCAGAGAACATGGAACAGTTGGAAACCTTAATAAGAAGTTTAAGGGACGGGGGAGTGCGGTCCACGTTCCTCGGATTTTTCCAACTGTTCCATAGCCCTTTTTTCATCCATTTCTAAAGAGGCTTTGAATGAACACCAATTTGATGAAACCTCTTTCGATATTGTATTTTTGTCTCTTTGAATGAATTTGTTTTGAAAGAAGTTTCAACACAGCAGGAGCTCTTTTCAATCGACCACTGCATCACTCTTTCTAATGAAGAACTGTAACTTTCACAACTGCTTTCAATTGGATAGGACTTTCAAGTACGGGCAATTAAAATGTTTGGATTACCCCCCTATCACACCAAACTAGTTCTTACCCGTTCTTGCCAGTCCTACGAAAACGTCGTAAAACGGGCTCAATCTGGCTGTGGTCGGGAAATATGTCTGAAATAATTAGCTTCTTCGTTCTTAAACAGTCTTCAATACGTCCATCTCGTTCGCAGTTCGTTCAGGTCGCACCACGTCGGTGTGCAACGTCGTAGAACGCGTCCTTTAGTCTAGAAGGTCAACATGACCTGATTACAGAACGGTATGGTCGCCATCGAATTTTGAATCGATTCAAAATTCTAAAATCACATTCCCGTCTGAGAACGTTCATAAAGTTCGTAAATAGACCTTAGAAAGTTGCAGCTACGTTCATTCCGTTCGCACACAGTTTAAAACCAGTTTTGAAGAACGCAGTGGCAACTTCTTTGGTGTGATAGCTATATTTTTGCTAACTCGTTAATAAGCAGTGTTAAATACGTTCTTAATCAGTTTAAACCCGTTTGCAATTAGTTCTACCTCGTTCTCAACACGTCCTCAGACAGTTCAACTCGTTGTTAAAACGTCCCTTGTAGGATTGAAGTACGACGGTTCCGTTCGTAGTACGTCCAGCTCGTCGTTAGTACGTTGTCACTCGTTCTAATTGTAGAACGTGACGACCACGAGAACATTTTGAGCATTGTCTAAGTTCTAGAGGACCTACCCGTTCGAGTACGTTCGATGAAGTTTGTAAATAGATCCCAAACGGTTCTTAGTAGGTCTAGTCCGTTCGTACACAGTTGAAACCCGTTTTCGAGAACGTAGTGAGAACTAGTTTGATGTGATAGTAGGGTTAGTTTTCAAAGCTACATAAAAATGCACGGTGTCCTTTTTTACCACCCTGCACATGAATACAACAGTACACCATATATTGGGTTTTGTTATTTAAATCAATGGGAATTCACTGCAAGGTAATCAATACATCATTTCTTTTAATGTTATAACCAATAAAAGATATATAATAATGATTTACTCCTTTTCATGTGCAGTGGAGAGGAGATCTCGGCGAAGGAGAACTACGAGTACAGATATGGGCGTACAGACCCCTCCAGAACTAAACGAAAGAGGGCATGGTAGAGTGAAATCCTTGAAAATTGTAAATCTGATTGGCTATAATATAAATTACAAAAATCTAAACGTAACTAATGTCAATTTACAACATGGAGACGCTTCAGATGACGGATATGTGATTGGAGAGGATAGCAATTAATTCCAAGTGATCACATCTGTTTTCTAACAAATTATATAAATAATAAAAACAAGTAAAGCGCCAACGTTCAACAAACACTATAAAGCTGGACTATAGATTCAATAATCCAAATGGATATGAAACCCTGAGAAATCCATGTCATGTTGCATTTATGTATCTATGCCTACACGTTTAGTCCAAGACTAAAACAGTTTAATATGGACTTCGACACATTCAACCAGGGACATTGAGACATTAACTATATCTAGTACTAGTAATTAAAAATTGACGATGTTACACTCGTAAAAATGTTGTGGAGATTCTGCTTACAACTCTTGAAAAAATAAAAATCGTACCTACGACGTTCCGACATTTTGTTACGAAACCGGACCGTTTCGTTAACTAGTCTGAAAAGTGCAGTACCAGTGATATGGTAGACAAGTGTATATTTAAAAGTGAAAGATAAAGCTAAAATGAGACTGGTGTATATTTTTCATGGTTTTATTCATTTTAGTGCCATGGGTATAATTGTTAAACATTAATAAATCTCTGATATTTTACAATAACAATACTGTATTTTTAGTAATGTGCCATTTACATGTATGGCTTAACAACTAATTAAAGCTACTGTAGTAATAATTGTTCCCTTAAGAGTACAATAAATCATTTCTTTCATACAGTCACTCTACTATACCTAACACCTAGAAATGCACAAGATACTTTGTTTGTCTAATTGTATTGTGTAGTATATTTTTTAAAGTGCCTTGGTAACATCTAATATTCAACCGATAAACCATTAATAAGGAACAAACAAATAAAAACAAATACATAAGCATTACAAATAAGCCAAATGGGTTGCTCATGAACACCAAATGCAAGGTATAGTAGAGTGACAGTATTTCTGCATAAAACACATACCTTGCTCGTTTGTGTTATTAAGAAAGGATTACTATGTAAAAAAGAATAAATGTGTAATCCACCCTGATGCAAGCTATACTTCTTTCATAACACCAACAAGCAAAGAGGAGATGCACCATCCCCACCACCAATAACTAAGATGCCGGTAGTTAGTTACTAATTTCACCACCAGGTGGCTAATTTGGAACAAATAACATGGCAGGAAGAGAATATAGATTTCAAATACGATATCACTTTGACTAAATTTGAATATTTAATGACTGAAATCAAGGTGATTATTACTTGCATCTAGTCTATCCACAAACTGTACATGGTATTATTAAACAAATGGTACCATTGGAAAGTTAAGTCCGAAAATTGTCAAAAAGTAGGTCTTGGTCAGAATGAATTAAGGGGTCTCACATTTCTAGTATTCTAAATGTTAAAAGAACAAGAAACGGTGAAAAATTGCTGCCATAAAATTTACCCAATGCACATAAAGTTCTAGAAATTTTCAAGTCCATCTGTAAAGTAGTTTGTCTAGAAATGTGCTGACAATAAAATGGCATGAAGCAGCTTGATGCAGCCCATCTGCCAAGCTGATGACAATATACTTTTTAAAAATCAGCATTGTAATGACAAAACTTAACAATGTCTTTTCAAAAATAATCTCATTTACTTTATAATTGTTACTTTTATAGAAAACAGTTTTCTTTGATATTTTCAAAGTGCAAAAATCTAGTCTTAAAAATTTCAAAGTTTGGACCATTTTATCTTTGAAACAAAAGGCTAGATGCATGTCACGTTACAAAAAAAGTATTGGGACAAGAATCACAAGTTGGATTAATTGATCCCTCCCTGTGGGCATTAGAGTAAAATGGTCTTGCTGAAATGAAATAAAATATGTGCAATGAAAAACAATATAAGTTCATTATTTGATTCCATATACATTTGATGGAAGTGCCTGTATATTGTAAAGACTGGAAGGCACTTCTTGGCCCTTGAGAACAACAAAATGCTGAGCAACTTGGTCATTACAGTAGTACCTTCATATATTTTAACTTGTACTTTGATGATAGTGTAGTTTAATTGGTTAATAATACTATTACCCTTTGCATTCGTTCAACTTCACTTTTTAAAAGAGAGCTCTGTCTCGTTTAACTAGACTCTGCACTCAGGGTATAATACTATAAGGTGCTAGATGAGATTCTGGGATGCCTGCCCATCTATCTACCCAGTCCTCAAACTGTCAAGTGTACCACAATGAATGAGCTAAAACTCATGTCTTGTCAGTGATCAGACTGCGGTTATTTCTTCCATTTCATCTTCCCCCTCCCCAGCCAGTAGGCCTTCAGTGTCCTCACTAAGAGCATGTGTGGTGATCTTGTATGCAGCTTTATCAACGTCTTCAAAGGTCTCTGGTAAAGGCTTACCAAGTGTTTCAGGAAGGTAAAAGTTCAACAGGCCTGAGGTGAATGATAGCGCACCAAATATCGCAAATTGAAGATTTGGATATATGTTGCCCTGGAAGTAGTTAAGGTTCATATCATCATACTGCATAAGAAATATACAGGAATGTGCCCTTGAATCTTAGGCTTGGGCCTACAATATATTCGAGCAACAGATATAAATATAACAATATACATGTACAGTATGTGCAAATTTGAAAATCTGTTATGTACAAGTAATCTTATTATTCATCTTATGTGTGCTTTTTATAAAAGACACATTTTATCAAGTCTTATTTCTCTGACATTTGATATCATTTTAGGTAGCGATCTGAGGCACTTCGATCAGGGTGTTGTCGGGACAATTTCTCTTGTGACTTAGGTTATGTATTTAGGTCTATCTCAACAGATTTTACTGGTCTTATGCGCCGCAAATGGTGCGAAAGATGTTAAAATTGCATTTTCGACCCTAAAATTCAGATTTCTTGGGGGTACATTATTATTTAGCTATAAAACAAAAACTAAACAACCAATGCTTCTTTCTCTTAGTGTTTCTGTTAAGAGTAATTATATTTAAAATGCATATGTAAAAAAATTGAAGAATTTTAACTTAATTTAAAAACAACAACATTTTTTCATCCTAAAATAATTGAATTTAGGGGGGTCGAGAGACACTGATCGGAATTGATATTTTAATTTCTCAATCAATCTTTGTTTAATATTAATGAAACTTTCCTAAAAATAGCACCAACATGTCCCCAGCATAATACCCATAAAGAAAAAACTCAAACTATGATGTTTTTATCTATTAGAGTCAATTTACCTCTCCCCTCTTTCCCTTATAAAAGGGATAAAAGGGATTTAAACAGTAGCATGATGTCACATTAAATGAATACATGTACATATATACCATGTATTTTATCAAATATATTACCAGAAAATATTTTCATTTAGGTGTATACATATAGTACATACCTGTGAATTATTTATAATACAATATTTATTCTATGTAGGCTCGAGATATAAGAATATTAAAAATCTGAAGTTGAATATTATCTAATACACAGTTCACAACTCAGTCATGATATTGATTTTACTCATTGTATGAATTTCTGTCATCACAAATGTAATTTTTATTCACCAGAATATATTTGATCCATAAAGCTTTGTATTTCATAAACTTCCTTTTCATTTTGATCTTCTAAAGTATCATCTAATACGATAACATCTACCAGGTCCTGGAGTAGAATTTTATCTGGATTTGACACCCATTGAAATCAAAATGGCCATCTTTCATCCTCCATCCATGTGACACAGGGGAGGGAATTGATGGGTAGGGGATGTGGGCAAGATTCCATATGTGTGCTTGATAACTGGGCCTTGCTAGATGCTGCTGTAGTGAATCTATCTGGGGGTAGGAGGCTTATGTCAGTGCCTTCATAGCTTGTTATCACCCTTGGAGCAGATTTTGGTTGGAATTTGTTCTTGAATAAGGTATATCTCAGCTCATTTATATTTGAACATTTTTTTGTTCCCATACATCTGGTAAGTACCAGTGAGTAAGTAACTTCTCAGCACATTTAGTAGTTTGATCACTAATGACCCCTCCAATGGTGCTGAAACCTTTTTGAATTCAACAGATCTCATAAGTAATTTTAGGGGGGGGGACACTTTCCACCTTCTCACAAAGGCATTGAAGGAATCACATCCAGTGAATGAATGGAAGGCTGGTAAAGCATTACAAATTTACAAATGTCTGAACTGAGCGCATTTCCTTCTTCCTTTACATTAAAGGGGCAACAAGGACTGTAGAGAGAAAATTCGAAGTGTAAATTCAGTTCAAAGCTTCTATATTTGATTTTTAAGATTCACCACGTTTCAACAGGAATATCAGCTGAAATTATGTTCATCCAGGGAGTTTCTTTGTAGATAATAAAAATATATGTTAGTCTTGATGAAATATCCAAACTTAAATATATTTTGACACTGGTCGATGATTGTTGAATGATCCCCCTGCACTAATTGTTGCACCTTTAATGAGTCATCTGTGGTCTGCACTACCAGTGTTGAAAATTAATGGAGTTTGAATAAGATTGGAAAGTGCACAAGAAGTACAAAAACATCGCTATCTGGGGATCTCACAACTATAGTTTTTTTCTGTATTTTCAGGTTCATTTCATGTTAATTGCATGGAGTATAATTTTTATATCTGCCTCTTTGTGGGAAGATCTCAGACTAGGTTCAACTCCATGTGTAACAGTAGTTCTATCACTGGTGCACTGTACAGATCTCACCACATGAATCTGTCTTTCTTGAGTTTAGGAGCATTTTTATCTTTTTCCATTCTTCAAGGATCAACTGACTCAGCTGCATTTCATTCTCATCATTTAAAAGGAATTCCTTCCAATTGTTAGGAATCCTGGTATTAGGTCCTTTTATTAATAGCTTTTTGGAGACACGCCTGCGTATTCTTTCTGGTTCTTTAATTGAATCTTTCTTATAGGAAGCATCTGAAGGATCCTCTCTGCCAATAATCCAAATGTTTTGGGTCGCTCAGGAAGTATATGGAACAATGCATTTCCATCATAGACTATAATTGTTTTTTTCTGGTTTGGGTCCATGTAATATTATATGTTTCCAGCTCATGTAATAATTTTGACTTTTCTGTTTTAACCAAGTGCCCATCAGGTGTTCCAAGAGCCCAGGGTATTGGACTTGGGGGATATTCCAATATTTGCTTTAGTCTGATACTATGCTGACTGACTAACTGGCCAAATATATTGCGCTCAGGTCTAATCTCAATCAGTTTGTTTCCAGAGCTTTTCACCTTTTTGACTCCAGTATTGAATTCAGATGTTTTCAGTTTCATTCTTTTATGGGGTCATGAAAATTTTTCACTTCTGCACAAATTGGTCTTGAATAAATTGCTTAAAGCAGATATGAAATGGTATTTTTAACCTAAAGGAATCAATATAAATTTTTGTATTTGGACATGTTTTCTCATCAGTAGTGTGAAAACTATTTCACTCTAATGATCGTTATAGCTGCTTAATAAGCAATATTCGAATTGGTTGTGACGTTATTGGCCCCACGTGGCCCGTTTTGGTTCATTAGATCATGACGTCATATTGCCAAAATGTTTTGTTATTTGTTTACACAACAATCCTATGGTTGCCGTGACATTGTAATTACTATGGAACCAATAAACCAAAGCTATTTTTTTGTATATGACGTTACCAATCACGTGGGGGCCAATTTGATTTATCAGTTAGTTTTATTTCGTTATCTATGACCGTTAGCAGTTATCTATAGCTAACATTTATTTTATAATGGCTATCGCAAGAACTCTACGGTTGGCTTACAATGGAGAAACCCGCATTTTTGTAGCTGCAAGTTGAGAAAAGCTATTTCAGTTGTCCTTTAAAGGCTTGTGTGCCCTTGGATGCTGCAGTTAAGAGATCATCTGCTAAATTAGAGGGTGTTGGCATTCCAGATGATATGCAGTATAAATGATCATTGTCCTCAATTTGGAATGGATTGAGAAAGCCATCAATTGAATCAATCAAAAAATTAATTAATAATAGAACATCAGACAGTAATAAGCCTTGAATAGCTTACTATTCTCCCTTATTGTTTTGCTACATGTTCCCTGCAAATAATGGATAGCAATTTATAATTGCAATTAGATAATCAATTTATTAGTTAAAGTTAAATACAGTAAAACCTGTCCGATGGAATACCTCTCTGTAGGGAAAACCTATGAACAAGGAATGCTTTTCAAAAGAACCAAATATTTTTCCATTGACTTACATGTTAACGGACCCTCTCTGTAGGGAAAACCTGTGAACAGGGAACAAGGAACACTTTTTGGGGCAAATTATGAAAATTCACCTGTGAACAAGGAAAATGGAATATTGGTGACCCTGTATATTCCATTATTTTTCAGAGGTGTGAAAGTCTTAAGCCAATATCTGATTCTAAAAAGCTTGGATTAATATTATTGAGATTAAGATAAGCCAATTGTTTACAAGATGTAGCATCCCACCCACTGTTAATTACCCTGATATATTTCAAAACTAATACTAATCTGTTTGTTACTAATTATCATGACACTAATTCGTCCTTTCAACAAACATAATTACATCAAATCAGTTGTGATAATCTAGGGATTGACACAATTGTTTTATGGAGATAACAGATAAGTACATGTGTCATGTTGAGCCAAATCTATCAATAATTACAACTAGACATCATCATACGCCAGCAGCAGCGGCTAAAATCAACATTGGGAGAAAGCTCCTTACCCTCAGCTAAAGGAGGGAGGTGGGAGACCTTCATACATCTTCCAAGATGTCACAACAAGGTCTAGCAACCAAGTATGGAGTCGGCATTGGTAAAATCAATTAATGCCCAAATATAAACAAAAAATGCTTATTCGGCAATCCTGAGTTTGCTGAAAGTGCGGCCCCTCTCTATAGGGAAAACCTCTGAACAAGGAAACTTTCCTCCAGTCCGAAGAGCATTCCCTGTTCTCAGGTTTTACTGTATAATATAAAGGTATTTTGTATAAAGTAAAACCTGTGTACATTGAACATCTATAGAGCCACAAAAATGTGTTCACTATTGGTAGATTTCAATACAGAAAGAGAATTTGTATTGGAATCAAGGTATGTGCTGAAAATAGGGTGTTCATTTTACACAGGTGTTCACTAGAGAAAGGTGTTCACTAACACAGGTCCAACTGTATAAGGCTTATGTCATTTCAAAGACATTCACTAGCTACAAGTAAAACAAGGCATTAACATGACAAAATGTCACCACCTAGTTGAAACAAGATATAAAATACCTTTTTGACCTTGAGGAGGTCACTTAAGGTCAAATCTGTTCGACCTTTAGAATGTCATTTAATGATCAAATCTATATTCTTAAATCTTAAGAAGGTCATTGAAGGTCAAATCTCAAACCTCAAGTCAGATTTGAACTTCCGATAACTTATAGATGATTTTGAAAAAAAGGTTAATTTGAAGCAAGTTGAAAAAAGACCTTTTCTGACCTTGAAAAGGTCATTGAAGGTCAAATCTTAAATATAAAGTCAGATTTGAACATCTGAAAACATGTAGATGATTTTGAAAACAATTGAAGTCAATTCTTGGAAATTGTAAGAATTTGTTACAGACCCCAATTGCCAACCACCAACCACAAACGGCCGACCACTGACCACCGTCAAAAAAGAACAGAGACCATAACAATATGTCACCACTATTTGTTGGTGACATAAAAATGATAACCTGATATGAACCATCCTCCTAAGCAGGTGTCCAGAATGCGTACCTCCTTCTTCCCCCTGCGATAACCAATTTGGACGCGCCTGATTTAACCGAATCACGTGATCTAATTATGCACAATGACTTATACATTATTTCTGTCGCAGTGTTGCGACAGCCAATCAGATTGCGAGTTCTTAATCGGGGAAATGGTAACTGCTTATCGCTGGGGGTAAAAAGAAAGAATATGTTGTGGATTTTGAAGCCCTGTGATCAGAGGATGGATATGAACATGAAGTATTTATTTTTAGATGAACATGCCAATATGGCCACGCCCTTCTAAAAAGGGAAAGAGGGGAGAGGTAAATTGACCCCTATAGGCAAAAAACATGTTAGAGTTTGAGTTTTTTCTTTATGGTAATGTGTTGGGGACATGTTGGTGCTACTTTTAGGAAAGTTCCATTAATATTAAACTGAGATTGACTGAGAAATTAAAAAATCAATACCAATCAGTGTCTCTCAACCCCCCTAAATTCTATGATTTTAGGGTGAAAAAATGTTGCTGTTTTTAAATAAAGTTAAAATTCTTCAATTTTTTTACATATGCATTGTAAGTATGATTATTCTTAACAGAAACACCAAAAGAAAGAAGCATTGGTTGTTTAGTTTCTGTTTTATAGCTAGATAATAATGTACCCCCAAGAAATCTGAATTTTAGGGTCGGAAATGCAATTTTAACATCTTTTGCACCATTTGCGGCGCATAAGACCAGTAAAATCTGTTGAGATAGACCTAAATACATAACCTAAGTCACAAGAGAAATTGTCCCGACAACACCCTGATCGAAGTGCCTCAGATCGCTACCTATTTTGGTCTAATCTCAAAATTAACTGATATTTCAAAGTACTATTTAATGTAGGAATCCTGAAAATGGGAATAGAAATGTGATAGTGAAAATATGATTATACAAAAAATTATAATTTAATTGCAATCCATTTTTAGATAATATGCATCCTCCTAGCTCAGGTCTTAAATATCCAAAAGGAGTTAAGGAGTTTTATAGCCCTGCATTTTGGGAATGATATTTGGACTGAATTTGATGGCTGGAGAGTTACACAGTCAGCAGGTTCAATTGCTTTCTAAAAAGGCATTTTCACAAATAAGCTGTGAAATAAAGGATTTTTGAAGTGCAATACAGGTACAAAATCCTTCATTACAAATCTTGTAAAATGCTGCGTAACGAAGCAATTTAACCCAGCTGTGCTACATGTACCATTAATGTCTTACCAGTGGAATGATTAGAGGCACCAGTATGCCACCTATCCTGGCAAATGTTGAGCAAAGCCCCAGACCAGCATTCCTAAAATCACAGAAAATGTTTGAATATTGATAAGTAAAATACATGTACATGTATTGGGACTTTTTGTGAATATTAATTTTAGAAAAAAAGTCAGGACATGCGTGCTGATTTTTCTGTAAGAACTTAAGCGTGAAATATCACTTGGTGAAAAATGATGATTTCATCATAAAACAACTACCAAAAATTGGCACGCATGAAGGTATATTTTCAAAAAGCTCTCAGCTTTCTTTTTTTGTCAGATAAAGTTTTGAGGTAGGCCTAAAGTGTTCAGGCAGTCATGTGACCTGTGTTCGGCCAATCACAGAATGAGGGACATGACATGAGATAATCATAGTAATACTCACCTTACCACAGTCGGATACAGCTCTGAGGTATATAAATAAATCATTGAAAATGAGGCTGAGATTGCCAGCTTCCCAGCCATAGCCAGACCCACAACAGTTTTGGTGTATTCTACAAAAAGAAATAAAAACACACTTATGTAACATGGCCATTTTCATATTTTTATATTTCTCACTATTCATATTGATCAGTCCTATATATTTCACTTATTCTCATTTTAACAGGTCCCTAGCTTACTATTGTATCAGTGCCAAATGTTTTAATCCTCTTGTTTGCCATGCCTTACCTTTTCACTATCTTTTGTTTCAAACCAGTTTTTAGCTTTTCATGTTGTATGTTCAATGTTGTTTTGTATTGTGTAACTTCCATATATGGAACATACTCACTCACTTGAGTTTGGGTGTTGGCCCAGCCCCAGTAGTTGCTTAGAGTTAGATGATAGAGTAGATTGTACAGAGAACAAGTTGAAGTTTATTTGAAATAGACAATTTTATATATTATTTTAACTTTGGTTTTATGTTACTTATATCGCCACCCACGGCCTTAGCCCCGGACATTACACTTAGAAGTCGTGAAGTTATAACTTTGTACATCTTGTTGGTTTCTTTCTCTAATTGGTTGGAACTTCTTTCTTTTTCTAACTTTTTAATGGGAGTAAATGACAATCTATTTAGAGAAAGTTTGTCTCCTTTGAAGTTACCAAGTAGCCTTGCCCAAGTCGGTATTTTTTTACTTATCTGATCTTGAATTATTACCGCCTTGTACAATCCAATACACCTGCGCTGATATTATGCAGAGTTATTCAACGGTTTCGAGATTTCCATAATACCTACGCTATCGGGGGTATCGCGAAACCTTATTGATTTATGGTTGGCCTATTAGTATAAAGAATGCATGCGTTGTTTACGGGTGTGTAGGCGTTAATTACGCTCGTGTAGATGTAAAATTACGCCCGTGCTGACGAAAAATTACGCCTGTGTAGGCGTAAATTACGCCCGTGTAGAAGTAAATTCTACGGGCGTTCAGAATACATTTACAGGCGTGAACTTACGGCGTTAAAATTATTAATTACGGGCGTTAAGACTGTTATTTTACACGCGCTGAGAAACATCTTCACGCCCGTCGAGTTCATTTTAGCGCCGTGAATTATGAACCAATCAGCATCTTGCTTACATGATGATACGATGCATTATAGCTAAAAGTACAACTCCAAGACCCTTGTGCAAGTTAATAACATACTCATGATTGTGCCAGGAACAACTGTTGCAATTGGAGGCATATGAAATAGTATTTCTTTTCTGGGTATCTCGGTGCACTATTTGTGCAAATGTGAAAGATTTACATCGTATATTAAATGAGTTATGTATTCCTGGAAATAACATGTGACATATAAAGACGGCTGCATAAAGATTCCAAAAAGTACACATCTCCCTAACACCAAATTTGAACATATGTTGGCTAGGTATACTAGGTATATAGGCTCATTTGACATTTTCAGTACATTTTCAAAAAATGCCAGATCTGCAGGATATAGTCTAGAGCCAATTTGCAGTTGATTAGATACTATAATTCTAGTATCTGGACACATCCTTTAGAGGGATACATTAGCGATCTGACTGTATAATGAGACTGTAAGCTGCAATGCGTGTGAGCTTAATAAGTCCCTACCTAGCCTACCTCTGAAGCCGACGCCTAGATTGGAGAATTATCAAAAAATCATCGTATTTAGAAACCAAACATGTATACCTTCTCAAAATACTTCGCAATTTTGTCGTTTCTACAATGGGTGTTGATAACTGCCAACACAGTACATGTCTCTTCAATTTGCCTTTTAATATAATTTGCTCTAAAAAATGAATACTTCTTTGGTTAAATCTAGTTCAATCTTGAACGAATATTTAAGGACCTCAATGCAACACACTAAAATGTAAGCAGGCTTCTGATTGTTGTTTACTAGCGCAAGTATCTCGGAGTTGCTCTTTTAGCAAGGATGCATTAAATCATCATGTAAGTAAGGTTCTGATTGGTTCATAATTTACGGCGCTAAAAATAAACTCCACGGGCGTGAAGATGTTTCTCAGCGCGTGTAAAATAACAGTCTTAACGCCCGTAATTAATAATTTTAACGCCGTAAGTTCACGCCTGTAAATGTATTCTGAACGCCCGTAGAATTTACTTCTTCACGGGCGTAATTTTTCGTCAGCACGGGCGTAATTTTACATCTACACGAGCGTAATTAACGCCTACACACCCGTAAACAACGCATGCATTCTTTATACTAATAGGCCAACCATAATTGATTAACAGATATACGCGTGGACAGTCTGGACACGACGTGTGACTTCAGGCTGATTGACCAATCAAAAACGTTATCAGGTTGACCTGCATAAGCAAAGCAATCTTCCCGATTTGAAATTCAATGCCGATGATCTGATCGATCGTTTCTTTAGAGTTACAATATATTATGTAATTAAATGTACATAGGGAATGTAAGAGTCATTAATATAAATTAAATCATGCAATAGATTTAAAACTGATTTTGGGATGAAAATGCAAGACCGAGTCCAATGTAGCGGGTCATGTAGTCGATCAGTGATTGAATCTCAGCCTACATGTTCATTTGAATTCAGCGATCGTTTCAACGTTTATTGTTGAAATCTTCTCACCTCCGGTTACCGATCGATGCTCCGGCATCCACTAAACTCTGATTGATATTTATCTGATAAAATATTTGTATTTTCATGATGAATTCATGCAAGTTTGTTCGTGAAAAGTCCTGGCGAAAAGTAAAAAGTGTACTTGTTTTTGACCGTGCATAATAATGAGCTAACGCTGCAGGGCCGTCGTTGATTGGTCAAATTTTACCGACATAAACATTGAGTCGGTAAAGCACGTGGCTTTCTCTTTGGTACAAGGCGGTCATAATAGAAATCAAGATAGTAAAAGAGACCGACTTGGGCAAGGCTAGTTACCAAGGTACAGTCTAGATCTACAAGCTGGGTCTACAAGCTGTGGCACTTATGAAGGACTACAGAGGTACATACACATGTACAATATATATGTAATATCTTACCAGAGGAGGTGAATAGAATAGCTGCACAAGAATACCTTACCAAAGGGAGTGAACAGAATAGCTGCATAAGTATATCTTACCAGAGGGAGTGAATAGAGTAGCTTCACAAGAAAATCTTACCAGAGGGAGGGAATAGAATAGCTTCCCAAGAATATCTTACCAGAGGGAGTGAATAGAGTAGCTTCACAAGAATATCTTATCAGAGGGAGTGAATAGAGTAGCTTCACAAGAATATCTTACCAGAGGGAGTGAACCGAATAGCTGCATAAGTATATCTTACCAGAGGGAGTGAACAGAATAGCTGCATAAGTATATCTTACCAGAGGGAGTGAATAGAGTAGCTTCACAAGAATATCTTACCAGAGGGAGTGAATAGAATAGCTTCCCAAGAATATCTTACCAGAGGGAGTGAATAGAGTAGCTTCACAAGAATATCTTATCAGAGGGAGTGAATAGAGTAGCTTCACAAGAATATCTTACCAGAGGGAGTGAATAGAGTAGCTTCACAAGAATATCTTACCAGAGGGAGTGAATAGAGTAGCTTCACAAGAATATCTTATCAGAGGGAGTGAATAGAGTAGCTTCACAAGAATATCTTACCAGAGGGAGTGAATAGAATAGCTTCCCAAGAATATCTTACCAGAGGGAGTGAATAGAATAGCTGCACAAGACAGACCTCCCAGCAACATGGCGCCACACAGGGAATATTTACGACCAATTCTGAAATTAGAAATACATGTTAGAAACACATACTGTACTTTTACTCTAATCAATTTAATGTTAAAAAAAACTATGAAAGTTGGACGGAACAGCAACATTTTCGATGATTCAGTAAATATAACTCGCTTTTACTCATTCTTTGATTTTTAGAAAGAAACCCCAATTTGTGACAATCAGACATGAAATCATAATAAAGATAAAAGTGCCATCGGGATTGAGAATGATTAAATTTTTATCAAGCAATATCCTATTCCTAAACTGATAGGCATTACACATGCTACATTATATAATTCACCTAGATGCTTTATAATTAAATTTCCTTTTAATAATTAACCCCAATGACTATTGATAGATCACAACATAACAATTAAGGGAGCCAGGTTATAATAAATAATTAACTTGAAACATACTGACATGCGCAATGTTTGTATCATGGTAAATATATACAGTGATACCATAAAACGTGAAGACAAGTTATAATATCTTAATATATCAAAATAAACACAGTTATGATCTTGATATCAAAATAATTGTGGTAAGTCTATATCATAAAACTTCTCAACAAACTTTAAATAATTTAATATCCTGATATATCAAAATAAATATTGTCATATATAGTGAATGTTACCTATTAAGAAGAAATATTGCCACAATGTTGGCAGGAATCTCTACTAAGCCTGAAAGTGCTACACTTATATACATATTGCTTCCTAAGTCTCCTGAGCTTAGAGTTAAACCATAATATACTGCACTGTTGACAAACCTGAAAAACAAACAAGGCACAGACGTGAACAATATCGTACCTAAAACACAGCATTGTGGTCTTGTTGACCAAGAAAGCAAGATGGCCGCAGAAAAGTTAATCAGCTCTAGAACTTATCACTGTGTAACATATGTAAAAATTTGAACGGTTTGGCTGGAAACCTGTAGACAAGCCTCGATAGACAAGATTTTAGGACGAAAAATCTAAAATGGCAGCCTTAACATTTACCCAGAATGCCCAAAAACTAATCAGTTCTTGACGTTGATATGTAGAAACATCCCTGAAAATTTCAGATGAATCCCTCAAATGGTTTGGCTGGAAACCTGTAAACAAGTCTTGAAAGTGAAGATTTTAGGAGAGAAAATCCAAAATGGCCACCTTAAAATTTACCTAGAATGCCCAAAAACCAATCAGTTCTTGACGGTGATATGTAGAAACATCCCTGAAAATTTCAGATGAATCCCTCAAATGGTTTGGCTGAAAATCTGTAGACAAGTCTTGAAAGTGAAGATTTTAGGACAACAATCCAAAATGGCCACCTTAAAATTTAACCAGAATGCCCAAAAACTAATCAGTTCTTGACGTTGATATGTAGAAACATCCCTGAAAATTTCAGATGAATCCCTGTTGTTGTTGAATTAAACGCTGATGCGCTGTTACCCCAATTCATTCCTAACTCACGCTGCAGCTTCTGAAAACAATATGCATGAATGGTGCAAGACCGGGTGGATCCGTAAGCGTCTTCTGCTGTTAACTCCCGCCCATTATGGAACCCATAATGAGACACCATGCATGTATAAAGAGAAGCTTAGGGGTGGTCGAAATGAGATGGTAATTACTAATGGGGCAACCATGCAGCACTGCTTCGCAACCATATCCATCTGGAGCATCTCTCCGCTACTGTTGCAATCTGCATACTTGCTCGCTTCCGCTTGGTAGATGGCATTCCAAGGGACTTCAGCATCCAAGTCACTGACTTTCCAGCAAAACCCCTGCATCCTACTTCAATAGGGAAGCTGTGGGCTTTCCAGTCCTTCTGTCTTGCTTCTGTGATAATGTCATCATATTTTGTTTGTTTCAACTCATGGGAAACCTCAATTCTATCCTCCCATGGAACAGTCAGCTCGACCAAGATAACACACCTTTTGTCATTTGATCTAATGACAATGTCTGGTCTTAGTGTCGTAATAGCTATATCTTGTGGAAACACAAACTTCCTGTCCAAATCGACCATGATTTCCCAGTCTGCTGTTGTTTGGAGGATTCCTGGGAGCATGGTAGTTCTCTGCTGTTGGGGTGCTTTGCTCTGACCTTCTTTACAGAATGATATCCATGGTGTTGTATCTTTAGCTAGTGGGCAAGTTTTGGAAGCAATTATGATGTCAATTTGCCTGGCTACTTCTCTCAGGACTTGGTCGTGTCTCCAAGTATACCGATGCTCTCCTAGGGCTACACTACAGGAGCTCAGTATATGCCTTAGAGAAGCTGGTTGGTCTTTACAAAGGGAGCAGGTTGGATCATCCGTCAAGCCCCAGAGTGACAGATTAGTAGGTGTGGGAAGGGTGTTGCTTAGGGATTTAAGGAAGAAAGCAAGTGATGTTCCAGCTGTCTGCATAAGATCACTCCCTGTCACCTTTCTGCTCTCTACAGATTCCCAACTCAGCCATGCACCCTGACTGCCCATTCCAGTTGCTTTAACTAGTCTAGCTTCCTCCTCGGTTTTCCTTATTTCACTCGTTACCATCTTCCTTTTTGCTTTTGGATCTGCCTTAGACCAAGGGACCCTGCCGTAACTCCCGAGCCCTTTCCGCCCCTCTGCAACAGTACCTACGATGTCACTCTGTCTCAGTCTGCTTTCAGCATTGCTGATAGCATCCTGAGCAGACCATTTCCTTCTTTCCGGAGGTTTGACTTCAGATGCCCTGGCTGTTGGATCTTTCGAGTCTCTGAGCAACATTGCTGTTCGCACTTTCGTTACTTTGAATTCTTCAACTATGGAGGAAGTAGGAAGTGCAGCTGGAGATGAAGTGCTGTAGAGGTTGACAGAGCTGAAAGATTTAGGAACCCCTAACCATTTGCGAAGGAACTTGCCAGCTATCCTTTCCATGGCCTGCACAGAAGTTATGGAGAAGTCATACATGGTGAATGGCCAATTCAACCTAGGAATAATTCCATACTGGAAGCACCAGATCTTAAGCTTCCCAGGAAGTGGTGTCCTATCTACTGCTTTCATCCAGGTAGCTAGCTGATGAAGCGTATCTGCTGTGTGGGTCTTGTCATTGAGACTGTGGTCAAACCATTTTCCAAGGCATTTAATTGGATTCTCACTGATGGTCGGATCATCTCTCCTTGCATTGTAAACTTGTTGTCTGATATTACGCCTTTCTTGAGGATGAGGCTTCTGGATTTCTTGGGTTTGAAAGTTAATCTGCCCCATGTAGCCAGTTGTTCAAGTCGAGAAAGGTGTTCAAAAGGTTTGGCTGGAAACCTGTAGACAAGTCTTGAAAGTAAAGATTTTAGGACGGAAAATCCAAAATGGCCACCTTAAAATTTACCCAGAATGCCAAAAAACTAATCACTTCTTGAGGTTGATATGTAGAAACATCCCTAAAAATTTCAGATGAATCCCTCAAATGGTTTGGCTGAAAACCTGTAGACAAGTCTTGAAAGTGAAGATTTTAGGACGGAAAATCCAAAATGGCCACCTTAAAATTTACCCAGAATGCCCAAAAACTAATCAGTTCTTGACTTTGATATGTAGAAACATCCCTGAAAATTTCAGATGAATCCCTCAAATGGTTTGGCTGGAAACCTGTAGACAAGCTGAAAAGTGAGACGCCGCCCGCCCGCCCACCGCCCGTCAAGCTGACTACAATATCGTACCTCTTGTTAGGTACGATAAAAAAGTATATACCATTACTTATGGGACACCCTGTTACAAAAAGTATATACCATTACTTATGGTACACCCTGTTTATAAATCAAGCTGTTCAATACTTTTATTCTATTTATTGGGTTTATTTGCATCTATCATTTTGGCCAATGTTTATTCATTTTTGGCTCCTATTTATGTTCTGTATACTGTTCTTGAGAAAATGTACAATGAATTTAGTACACAATCAATGTGAGAGTGCCTTGAGAACAGATGTCAAAAACATGGTCCCATTAATAACAGATTCTTACAACATACATTAGAACCTGTCTGATTCTAACACCATTGGAACCAGCCAAATGTTTGGAATATAGCAGATGTTCACATTTCAAAGTTTCTTAACAAGGGACTCAATGGGAGATAACGAAATTGGGACTGAGAGAAAGTGTTCAGATTAGGAGGTGTTCAGATTACAGGAGTGTTCAGAAATACAGGTTTTACTGTATTGACCTACCATGCATATAGTTGCACAAGTGTCCTATTCCGTGTGATTTTATGTGTAAATAACTGCAAAGTTGAAAAACGTTTATTCCTGCCTTTTTCCTTGGAAGGTTCTGGTATCTTCAGTTTAATTGTCACGTCTGAATGGCCATTCTTAACTGCAATACGTTTGAGAATATTTTCAGCAGCTGAGGTTTTCCCCTTGTTAAGGAGCCATCTTGGACTTTCAAATAAAAGCCTGTAAAAATCATAATAACAAGATCACAAGATTATTACACATTACATAGACAAAATAATTCTTAGCTATGGTAAAACCTGTCTAATCCAAATGCCATTGGGATAGTAGGCCAAAATATTCAAATTGAGAGACGATCCAGTTAGAGAGGTGTAGCTCTTATCATATTTGGTTTTCATAGTTTGTACAAAACAAACAATTATTGAACAGCAACAAATGAATGACATGCTGCTGCCAAATGCATAAACACACTCTGATCAACTTTTTATTTAGACCAGTAAGGATTGGTATCGATATGGTGAACTGAATCCAACAATGTTTTTCTCTTAAACCAATTATTGAAAACATTCTGTAAAAAACACTGTCCCTTATGTAATTTTGACTGATTGACAACAATTTAATGTGAAAATTATTTATATATATTTCATATAACTGTTTTTGTTAACATTTTTTGTTTTTTAGTGCAATTGGTTTTCTTCCTTTTTACCAATTCTTGAGAATGGAATAAAATATCTTTCCGAAGCTTGTTGGAACAAAATAGCAAATATAACATTTTCCTAGACCTCTCAATATTATAGTTATACAAAGGAAATTTTGGTTGATTTAACAAAAAATATTCAAAAAATTAAAACAAAAACCCCAAAATAGATAAAAATTAAGATAAACCTTTTATATCATTAACAAGGTACTTTTTTTAAATCATGCAAACTTTCTTTTGTACAATAACAATATTGAGAGACCTAAACACGTTGTGTTTTTGTCATTTTGTTCCAATGAGGTTCGGCTAGATGTTTCATTTCATTCCGAGCATATGATACCAAGAACTTATTTGAGAGGAAGTGTTTGATGTGTTTTCTAAAACAATATAGAGGAAAGTATATATATTTATTTCAAATTATATTGATACCACTCAATAGATGACCATTAAATTGACAATGTGTAAAAATTTCAGAATTTTTTGATGACTGGTTTTAGAGAAATGTGTGTTCCAAAAGTTCAACATATCGATACCCATGCCCTCCTTTGTCTAATATTGAACTCTTTAAGAGCTTTATAAATACATGTACATATACTGTACATGTGTCGTGTACTAAAAAATTTTACTCACCAATACATGTGAATAAAAGGTACCAGAGACACTGCACAAGCCACAGAGAGATACCTCCAGTTACGTATATAATATGCCATCAAGGCATATACTGCAATCCCAATGGCGAATGTGGCAGCTACAACAACACAGCAAAAGGCCCTCCAGGGAGCACCAACCAGCTCAAGGAGCAAGGTAAACTGGACGACTGTCATACCATTTGAGAATCCAGTGAAGAATCTCAGGGCGATGTACATGGTGTATGTTGGAGCGAATGAGCAGCATAATGCAGAGATGAACTGTATCCCCATTGCGATGTAAAAGATCTTGAGCCTCCCATATGTATCTGAGAGAGAGCCTAGTGTTATGGCCCCTACAAGGACACCGCTCATGAACACAGACTGCACAAGGCCATTCAGGTAAGCTTTATCACATACAAGGTCCCACTGTAACAAATTAGCAGATTAATTTAACACAAAGGATTTTGGCCCAGGGCTTACAGATGACATTTAGCATGAGTTTGAGGGCATACCACTCTCATTCTAAAGCTAGGAATAAAAACACAATAAGTGAAGCTGAATATACTAAGCTTAGTATTCAAAAAAGTAATCGACCTTGTGGAAGTGAAATTTCGAACTAACAAATGTAACCTGAATGGTTTCATTAAGCTACAGTAAATCTTTACCTCAGAAACAGTCGACGTGAATGCATTGCCATATGTATATTCACTGCAAACACCCTGACGAGTATCATCCAAGGACGATGTATTAAAACACCCAAGGGTTGTATTGCCATCACTTTGTCTACAATAAAATTCAGGTATTGCACCAACGAAAACATTCTGGATCATTTGAAATGCAATGGGAAAATTGGCAAAACCAAATGAAATAATTATTTTCCATTGGTAACGTCCAAATTCACCTATCTCCTTGAATATTGAATCGATATCCATCTCAAATAGTTACCGTTTTACATTGCTTCTAGAACTGTGAAGCTAAATAGCATTGGTCCCTTGAGATTTTATCTGAGCGCATATTAAATATTCCAAAACTTTTTATCAACAGGGCGCTGCCATTTTGAATTTGACGTGTAGTATCGCGTTATTTTTACGAACGAAGAACAATTTTGTATTCACCCCAATTAGCCAATAGCTAATAGTTTTGGGCTTGCTCATAAGGATTCATTAAATAAAATCATTAGTTTTTTATTCAAATATCAAAATCGGAAACATAATACACAAAAACATTGTATCGTCTATGTTTTTCAAAATGGCAAAATCGGATAAAAACGAACATCCATAAATGATTGCATATTTTTGACGTATCACTTAACCATCAATATTCACGAGGAATGATCAAAAAGTATAACTCTTGTAATGACCCTCAATAACAAATTCCTTAGGGCTCAGCGGGTAGAACATCAGACTTTGATCAGGCTGGTTCCCGCATGGAAAATCGAATTTAGCACACTTCCTTGCATGTTCAATATCTGGGTTGTGGCACTATAACTCCACGGAGATGCCCTTGGATCGTAGAATTGGTGTCAGTCAGATCGTGAGATGATCCGACCTTGTTGTGGATATCCTTGGTGACGACGTCCTTGTGCTGTAGCCCAGTATTAATAATACAGAATATCTTAACATTTTCATCTCATTAACGAGGTCGGCGATCTTTGACATTAAGAATAAAGTTAATCGGAGAGAAAACGCCATGACAAAAATAATGAATAAAAAGACTGATTATTGGACTGCTTTTATATACATGAAAGTTGGGCCCAGAACAAGACGTAGGGTTTCAAGTTTGCTTAGTTTTTAATTTTCAAAAGATTTCTACATTTTCCTGAGACTAAAAGAAAGACATGAAAAAAGTGCGACTCTGGTAATCAAGGCCACAGTCTTGTCAAATTCAACAGAAAACGTGAATTTTTGGGAAGATTTCCGAGCAAAAATACGATCTTCAGTATTTGACCTGAATATCCCTTTTAGACGCTGTCATAAATGAATAATAATATTGTTAATATTTTTTTCAACAAACTTTACAAAAATGCTTGTTCCTTTTTGTGGGGGTGAAGCACCACCCTGGCTACACCCATGCAACCCATTGTTGAATGGACACAACACAATTACATGTAGACACAATCTGACATCAACCCATCATAACAGGATCAGGCACAACTAATAAACGGATAAAGCCAAACTATCAAAATGCAATCAGGCGCAACCTATAAAACACAGCCAAACTGTGATATCAATATACCCAACTAACTTTCTCCAATTTTAGATAACGTCAATCTGACAACACAATCGGGCCCAATCCAATATCTACTCAATTTGGCTCAACCCGACACTCAACCAGCATTACACAATCTCAACATAACACAGTGCATTGGAAAGCATTTGGGAACAACTCAATACCAAACTAAGATAACACAACCAGGTACAATCAAATAAACTACCACCAAAGAACAATTGACTGTCAAACTAACACATCCAAATCGGCCTCAACCCATTAATGAACTCAGCACAGCAAACAAAACCTAATTCAACATCACCAATTGTTCGAATTAACACAACACAATTAGGCACAACCTTACACCAAATCATCAGAATACAATCAAGAACAAACAGATAAACAACCATCACAACACAATCGACTGTCAAAATTACACAACCCAATCGGGCACAACACAAAGACCAAACTCAACACAACCAATTGTTGAATTAACACAAGACAATTAGCCACAACCATCAAAACACAATCAGACACAACCTAATACAGAACCAATATAACACAAACAAGCATGGATGTACCCTTTTTTGAAAAATCTATCGCACTATCGTTTTTGAAAAGTCTACCAGAAAAAACACTGTTTTTGGAAAATTTACTGGAAAAACTAGTTTTTGAAAAATCTACCAGAAAAAAATCTACTGAAACAATTACTGCTTTTTGAAAAATAAAGTTGAGTCTCCTTTTTTCAGAAAGTCTTTCGCAAAAACTAGCGTTTTATTTAAGATCTATAGCAATTCTACGGGTTTCCAAAATTATTCCTCCAATTATTATGGAATGGTCCTCGTATATAAGGTCTCGTCAAACCAATTAGCAAACTCAAGGGATTAGAGACTTTGCGAGACTTTCCAAATAGGGTACCAATTACTCAAGATCCTTGCATTACATCAAAAAGAACATCGTGTAAAGGACATAACGCACAGATATACAGTATATTATCGGTGTATATATTTCAGAAGTATTGATAATTCAATCGATGTAATTGAACGAAAGCTGGCTTGTGAAGTTATCACAGGAAATACACCACGCGGATTAATTTTCATTAGTGACCTCAGTAAAACGTCAAAAGCAAAAGTGCGTGTAGACTTTTACATTGTATTTACCGACTTATTACATACAGGAGAGGTTTAATTCGGAGTCTGCAGGAAATTTATTCATCGATTGAAGGAACCAAATTGGCTGAGTTGTATATGGAGGCTGCACAAAGCGGCTCATGGAGTGTCCCCACCTCGCCGAAAGTGTTAAAATTCTAGCGCCACCTATGAAATCAAAATCTTCACAAAGTTGGAACTGCCAAGGTTTGTCAGTGGTTAATTATGACACATTACATGGAACGAATGTAATTTTTTAAAATGCATAATTCATGAAACAGGGGTCTGTGATTTACTGAGATCTCTAAGAGACATCTGGTCTGGAGAATAAACATCGGTCCCCTTTGTAAGGTTTGTGATGTCAGAGGTCACATAATAGTGCACATGTTATGTAAACAAAAACAATAACAGCAGGATAATTATCAATATAATCATCATTTGGAACCCATTGTCTAAGTGAATATTTAGTGAGGAACTACATTGAATTTGACCTTTTAGTATGAGGAAGTGACCCTCCAGTACTGACTGAATGACAGCTGAGACATAATCTCCCCCCCCCCGCATAATTCTGTGAAAGTATGAATGATCACTTGTTTCAATATTGTACAATCCAAGTCATGAATTAAATTTGTTTCGAACACTGATAAATATTTTTTCGCTGAATTGCAAAGCGATTAGATTTTGTTGTATTGAAGAGGTCAACGTGACATTGGTACTCAACAATATTGGCAATGTGCTTGGTGCATTGACCAGCCATGCCACAGGCCCTTCCTTTTATTGTAGTGTCATATTAACATTGAATATAACCATATCATGTCTGGTGAGTCACATCTTTTGTGGAGGTGCAGAATAACTAACTACAACGCATGTGCATCTCCTTTTGTGTAATAATGTCCGTTATATTGGCCATTAAATAGAATAGTCGAACATTTATTTACACTTTCAAAAAATGAAAATCATCTTGTGGTTTTTCAGAAAAACAGATTGAAAAACAGTATATTCTCGAATGCTCATTTTGAAATTGAAAGGTTGATTTTTATGAGATCATTATCAGTTTTTTCAAGTGTTCTACACAAAATTTAAATTAAATTTTTTATTCACGATTATTCATCCTATGGACCCCGAGGTAGACAGATAAAAGTAGGAATTTATAGTCCTTAAACTGTAGTGTTACTTCTTTTAGCATGTTAGTATCAAACTTCATGACGTTATCTTATCGTGATAATAATAGAGAAGTTACAGTTAAAACAGATGATGGGTGAAGAGGTGCATTTTTTACTGTAGTCAATCTAATAGCATAATCCCCAAAATTCATTCTAATTGTAAGCCCAACTATTCTTATTTAGGATTTTCTTTATCTACTCGCAATAGTTCTTAAAAACAGTGGGGTTAACTGACATTAATATTCCCATAGTAGCCTACTTTTATTCTTCTAGCATCCCCTCTTATTTCAGTGGAGGTTTATACCCATAGTTTCTCTCACAGAGCAAATGCAGAAATCATGTTTTGATTGGGAATTACCCAGATATAGATATGTCGGAAATAAGCATGTACTGTAGGCTAAACAAATTCGAATACGCGAATCTATGGATGCTTTAAAATTTTAGACTTTAAGGACATAGTAAACTGAATTTCGTGATAAGTAACATTGTTTTCCAGTTTGTAGCAGTGATAAGAGCCCCTGGTTATGCCTGACATGTCAGCAGATACACTGTGGCAGGTATGCACTTACTCTAAGCTTTTTTGGCACTAGCAATCTTGTACAATTTTGTTTAGCATTTGTGTTTTAGGTATTTTCTTTATTGTTTCATTATTATTTCATAATAAATGATTGTGATTAAGGTTCTGATAATTGATAAATACTTTTTAAAGTTTTTTTTTGGTAAAAGATAGTTCAAACTTCTTACAGTACTGTATATCTTTAATTCCCAACCCAGCTTTGTATTATTGCCTGTTTGTTATGTTCCAGATTTGTGAATGGCCATGCTAAGAGTCATCATGATGAGCTACAATCTCAACTGCTGCCTGTGCAACCACTCCAACCCCATCACTGTGTGTGCATTGATTGTGAATCTATGGCCACTTTCTGGTAAATAATGTACTTTACTATATGTGGTGTCTCATCACTGTGTGTGCATTGATTGTGAATATATGGCCACTTTCTGGTAAATAATATGTACATTACTATATGTGGTGTCTCATCACTGAGTGTGCATTGATTGTGAATCTATGGCCACTTTCTGGTAAATAATGTACTTTACTATATGTGGTGTCTCATCATTGTGTGTGCATTGATTGTGAATCTATGGCCACTTTCTGGTAAATAATATGTACATTACTATATGTGGTGTCTCATCACTGAGTGTGCATTGATTGTGAATCTATGGCCACTTTCTGGTAAATAATGTACTTTACTATGTGTGGTGTCTCATCACTGTGTGTGCATTGATTGTGAATCTATGGCCACTTTCTGGTAAATAATATGTACTTTACTATATGTGGTGTCTCATCACTGTGTGTGCATTGATTGTGAATCTATGGCCACTTTCTGGTAAATAATGTACTTTACTATGTGTGGTGTCTCATCACTGTGTGTGCATTGATTGTGAATCTATGGCCACTTTCTGGTAAATAATATGTACTTTACTATATGTGGTGTCTCATCACTGTGTGTGCATTGATTGTGAATCTATGGCCACTTTCTGGTAAATAATGTACTTTACTATGTGTGGTGTCTCATCACTGTGTGTGCATTGATTGTGAATCTATGGCCACTTTCTGGTAAATAATATGTACTTTACTATATGTGGTGTCTCATTACTGTGTGTGCATTGATTGTGAATCTATGGCCACTTTCTGGTAAATAATATATACTTTACTACATGTGGTGTCTCATCACTGTGTGTGTATTGATTGTGAATCTATGGCCACTTTCTGGTAAATAATATGTACATTACTATATGTGGTGTCTCATTACTGTGTGTGCATTGATTGTGAATCTATGGCCACTTTCTGGTAAATGATATATACTTTACTATATGTGGTGTCTCATCACTGTATGTGCATTGATTGTGAATCTATGGCCACTTTCTGGTAAATAATGTACTTTACTATATGTGGTGTCTCATCACTGTGTGTGCATTGATTGTGAATCTATGGCCACTTTCTGGTAAATAATGTACTTTACTATATGTGGTGTCTCATCACTGTGTGTGCATTGATTGTGAATCTATGGCCACTTTCTGGTAAATAATGTACTTTACTTTATGTGGTGTCTCATCGCTGTGTGTGCATTGATTGTGAATCTATGGCCACTTTCTGGTAAATAATATGTACTTTACTATATGTGGTGTCTCATCACTGTGTGTGCATTGATTGTGAATCTATGGCCACTTTCTGGTAAATAATATGTACTTTACTATATGTGGTGTCTCATCGCTGTGTGTGCATTGATTGTGAATCTATGGCCACTTTCTGGTAAATAATATGTACTTTACTATATGTGGTGTCTCATCGCTGTGTGTGCATTGATTGTGAATCTATGGCCACTTTCTGGTAAATAATGTACTTTACTATATGTGGTGTCTCATCGCTGTGTGTGTATTGATTGTGAATCTATGGCCACTTTCTGGTAAATAATGTACTTTACTATATGTGGTGTCTCATCACTGTGTGTGCATTGATTGTGAATCTATGGCCACTTTCTGGTAAATAATGTACTTTACTATATGTGGTGTCTCATCACTGTGTGTGCATTGATTGTGAATCTATGGCCAATTTCTGGTAAATAATGTACTTTACTATATGTGGTGTCTCATCACTGTGTGTGCATTGATTGTGAATCTATGGCCACTTTCTGGTAGATAATATGTACTTTACTATATGTGGTGTCTGATCACTATGTGTGCATTGATTGTAAATCCATGGCCACTTTCTGGTAAATAATGTACTTTACTATATGTGGTGTCTCATCACTGTGTGTGCATTGATTGTGAATCTATGGCCACTTTCTGGTAAATAATATGTACTTTACTATATGTGGTGTCTCATTACTGTGTGTGCATTGATTGTGAATCTATGGCCACTTTCTGGTAAATAATGTACTTTACTATATGTGGTGTCTCATCGCTGTGTGTGTATTGATTGTGAATCTATGGCCACTTTCTGGTAAATAATGTACTTTACTATATGTGGTGTCTCATCACTGTGTGTGCATTGATTGTGAATGTATGGCCACTTTCTGGTAAATAATGTACTTTACTATATGTGGTGTCTCATCACTGTGTGTGCATTGATTGTGAATCTATGGCCACTTTCTGGTAAATAATGTATACTTTACTATATGTGGTGTCTCATCACTGTGTGTGCATTGATTGTGAAACTATGGCCACTTTCTGGTAAATAATATGTACTTTACTATATGTGGTGTCTCATTGCTGTGTGTGCATTGATTGTGAATCTATGGCCGCTTTCTGGTAAATAACATGTACTTTACTATATGTGGTGTCTCATCACTGTGTGTGCATTGATTGTGAATCTATGGCCACTTTCTGGTAAATAATATGTACTTTTCTGTATGTGATGTCTCGTTGCTGTGTGTGCATTGATTGTGAATCTATGGCCACTTTCTGGTAAATAATATGTACTTTACTATATGTGGTGTCTCATTGCTGTGTGTGCATTGATTGTGAATCTATGGCCACTTTCTGATAAATAATGTATACTTTACTATATGTGGTGTCTCATCACTGTGTGTGCATTGATTGTGAAACTATGGCCACTTTCTGGTAGATAATATGTACTTTACTATATGTGGTGTCTCATTGCTGTGTTTGCATTGATTGTGAATCTATGGCCACTTTCTGGTAAATGATATGTAGTTTACTACATGTGGTGTCTCATCACTGTGTGTGCATTGATTGTGAATCTATGGCCACTTTCTGGTAGATAATATGTACTTTACTATATGTGGTGTCTCATTGCTGTGTGTGCATTGATTGTGAATCTATGGCCACTTTCTGGTAAATAATATGTACTTTACTATATAAGGTGTCTCATCACTGTGTGTGCATTGATTGTGAATCTATGGCCACTTTCTGGTAAATAATATGCACTTAACTATATGTGGTGTCTCATCACTGTGTGTGCATTGATTGTGAATCTATGGCCACTTTCTGGTAAATAATGTACTTTACTACATGTGGTGTCTCATCACTGTGTGTGCATTGATTGTGAATCTATGGACACTTTCTGGTAAATAATATGCACTTTACTATATGTGGTGTCTCATCACTGTGTGTGCATTGATTGTGAATCTATGGCCACTTTCTGGTAAATAATATGTACTTTACTACATGTGGTGTCTCATCACTGTGTGTGCATTGATTGTGAATCTATGGCCACTTTCTGGTAAATAATGTACTTTACTATATGTGGTGTCTCATCACTGTGTGTACATTGATTGTGAATCTATGGCCACTTTCTGGTAAATAATGTACTTTACTACATGTGGTGTCTCATCACTGTGTGTGCATTGATTGTGAATCTATGACCACTTTCTGGTAAATAATATGTACTTTAATATATGTGGTGTCTCATCACTGTGTGTTCATTGATTGTGAATCTATGGCCACTTTCTGGTAAATAACATGTACTCTACTAAATGTGGTGTCTGATCACTATGTGTGCATTGATTGTAAATCCATGGCCACTTTCTGGTAAAAAGTATGTTCTTTACTATATGTGGTGTCTCATCACTGTGTGTGCATTGATTGTGAATCTATGGCCACCTTCTGGTAAATAATATGTACTTTACTACATGTGGTGTCTCATCACTGTGTGTGCATTGATTGTGAATCTATGGCCACTTTCTGGTAAATAATATGTACTTTACTACATGTGGTGTCTCATCACTGTGTGTGCATTGATTGTGAATCTATGGCCACTTTTTGGTAAATGATATATACTTTAATATATGTGGTGTCTCATCACTGTGTGTGCATTGATTGTGAATCTATGGCCACTTTTTCGTAAATAATATGTACTTTACTATATGTGATGTCTCATCACTGTGTGTGCATTGATTGTGAATCTATTGCCACTTTCTGGTAAATAATATGTACTTTAATATATGTGGTGTCTCATCACTGTGTGTGCATTGATTGTGAATCTATGGCCACTTTCTGGTAAATAACATGTACTCTACTAAATGTGGTGTCTGATCACTATGTGTGCATTGATTGTAAATCCATGGCCACTTTCTGGTAAAAAGTATGTTCTTTACTATATGTGGTGTCTCATCACTGTGTGTGCATTGATTGTGAATCTATGGCCACTTTCTGGTAAATAACATGTACTCTACTAAATGTGGTGTCTGATCACTATGTGTGCATTGATTGTAAATCCATGGCCACTTTCTGGTAAAAAGTATGTTCTTTACTATATGTGGTGTCTCATCACTGTGTGTGCATTGATTGTGAATCTATGGCCACCTTCTGGTAAATAATATGTACTTTACTACATGTGGTGTCTCATCACTGTGTGTGCATTGATTGTGAATCTATGGCCACTTTCTGGTAAATAATATGTACTGTACTATATGTGGTGTCTCACAATTCTGCCTACTGGTAAATATATATATGTCGTCTCATTGATTCATGGAGTATCGCATCGAGACCATTTGGCGTCTTAGTCAGGAAAAGTGTCCCAGCGCATGAATCTTGAATAATGTTAGAGCAGTGTTACCTGTGTAGATCATTGAACACCACAATTTGTATTAGAAACTGAAATTATGAAAAAGATCATTTCCATAAAGTGCATCATATGAGCATAATAATAATGTATATGCACTATTCAAACACAACATCTATCAGGGTTGTACAAAAAGTCTTGAATTTTTCCTATAATCCAGAGTTTTGGATATCTGTTCTTGTTGAAACTTAAAATTTTCAATACTTTTTGGACAACCCTTGTAGATATAGATGAAAATAATGAAAATGATAAAGAATAATAATGTAATTTATTGTTTCAGTTATTTATGTGATGAGTTCGTAATCAATGACACTCCTGGTGGACATATAGATAATCTGAGAAAGCAACTTCAGGAAATAAACAAGTAAGCTAAACATTTCAATAATATTTTTTTTATGTTCAAATGTTTTATTCAGAGTTTGAAGTAACGTGTATAATCTCTACTCTGTACATTATCCCATCCAGCCTTTCCATCCATCCACCCACCCATCTGCTGAATTCAAAATGGCCACCATTTTTCAGAAGAATATAATTTTACACTTCCTGTGATAGTAATGAGTATCTTTTGACTCTAACAGTAGTACAACTGCGGAAGATGTGAAAATCCAAAATGTAGAAAATGAAATGAAGATGCGGCCTAGGAGGCGAGCTACAGCAGAAACTTCAGAAAATAATAGGAAAAAGCTCAAAACAGTAAGTATTTTGTTTGTCCCTATTTAAATCCTGCCCCAGTGATCCTTACCAAAACAAATGTAGAGAAACACACAGGAAGGGGAGACTTGATGCTATAAGTTTGATATTTGTCTAGGTTTATTTCACCCGCACAAAGTTTTGTTATATCACACCCCAGAGAAAATGCAGGTATTAATTTAAGATGGCACAAGCAATGTTGTTTTAGAATTTCATACCAGAATAAGAGGGAGAAAAGTCTTAATTTTGATTTGAAAATGTAACAAACTTCTAAATAATTAATGAACCCTACAGCCATCAATAAACAAAACTTGACATTATTGGATTCATCAGTAAGGTAAGCCTAAAGTAATATCCCTGAATTGAATGTTTGTTACAGTCTTCAATGGTTTATCTTTTTATTGTAGGAGAGTGGTGCTAGAATGATGAAACCTCGGTCATCTGGGCTGCGTAACCTTGGCAACACATGTTTCATGAATGCTGTTTTACAATCTCTTAGGTAAGAAATTCTCTTGCATATCAGGCCAGAAGTTGCAAATAATGCAAACTTATCGTATAATATGATTTATGCATTATTACACTAATAGCAATTTATTGAAAATCATTTGATTTTTGTCTTGAGTTTTAAAACTTTATCCAAAATATGTCTAGGTTCAGTATTTTCTTTGATCTATTACAAACCACATTGTTCAGTACCATTATCCAAAGACCAAGGTATTGTAATTCAATTTTATTTCAACTTCAATTTAGAATCATATATTCAGTAAACAATAAAGCTTTGATAAATAAATGTTTGTAGAAAGTGAAAACAAGGGTGATTTCTTGAGGTCTTTAAAAGTGCATCATCAGCCTTTCCACCATTTTGTTTTGGTGTCTCGTTGTGTATTAAATTCCCAAATGTTTTCCAGTAATATCCAACAGTTCTGTGGCTACATCAAACAACTGCCATCTCTTGAGAACAAAGTCACAATCACATCAAAGAAAAAGATAAAAACTAGAAGTTGTAAAGATGGCGACGATGTGTAAGTGTTCTTTTGACTACCACATTCATATGAAAGCTGTCGAGACTAAATGTTCATTCACTTAAAATTGTTAAGACTTGTTAAACTGAAGTCATTACAAATTATGGCACCCTCATCAATGTCACATTGTTGTGACACGGAATCAATAACACACATAATCAATGACACACATTGTTGTGACACAAAGAACCAATAATGCTTCTACGATTACACTTTGGCGTTGGCTCTGTAGTCTGTTCCATATATATATATATATGTACATTATCTATTTAATTTGAAACAAATAAAGACATTGTTTATATTTTTAGGTTCTTGGTGGAGGAATTACGAAAGACATTGGTTCTACTTTGGCAGGGCAAGAAGGCGGCAATATCACCAGAATCATTATTTTCAGTTATATGGAAAGTTGTCCCTCGTTTTAGGTAAGCATTATTATTTTCATACAGTTGTTTTTTGATACGACCTCTAAATTAAGAGACATCCAAAAATAGAAGAAACCACTTTTCATTCTTCAGTCTTATTTAGAAATATATTGTGTCATACCTCAAGATTTTAACATATTCATGTTGAACTTCAATTATCAATTTCGGATCTTGGATCACAAGCAGTTAATTAAATATTTCATGTGAACTGTGTTGCATATTTATCTAATTATCTTCAAATTATGCATATTCTAGATTATCTGTACATAATCATGTCAAATAACAGATCACAAATGATAGATACCTGCTATTTGTTAAGTTGGAACTGTATCCCTTGATCATTGGATATTATTGTTTTGTTCTTGATTCATGTTGTCCTGATTTATGGATGGACCTGGCAATTGTATATTTTGCAAATGCAACCTGGGCATGTACAAGTTTGAGCCAGACATGTTTGACCATGGCATATTTGGAGGCACCATATTTGATCGAGGCATATTTGAACCACACATTTGCAGAGGCATATTTGACAGTGCCATATTTGGATGGAGCACATTTGACCCTGCCATACTAGTATTTGACTGAGACATATTTGACTGTAGCACATTCGGTCCAACCATGTTTGACTGCTGCACATCTGACCTGACCATATTTGGCGGAACCATATTTGACCCAGCCATATTTGGATGAACCATATTTGACCCAGCCATATTTGGATGAACCATATTTGACCAAGCCATATTTGGATAAACCATATTTGACCTAGTCATATTTGGCTGATACATATTTGGCCCACCCGTATTTGACTGCATCATATTTGGCTGAACCATATTTGACTCAACCATATTCGACCCAACCATATTCGACCCAGGTATGTACAAGCCAGGCATTTGTGGTGCCCAATGACCTGGTGGGTCTTGAGACAAACCAAGAGAGTGCATAGAGGAACATTTTGAGTCCATTAAGAATCCTCTCTCGTTAGTGTCAGTGCTTGACAATGACGAAGGTCTAGTAAAAGAGTTCCAAACATTTCCGGATAATTCCTGAAGTTCAACATTCTCGTCACTTTCAGAAATATTACATATTCGTGGAGCCTCCAACTCTGTGACACACATCTGTGGAGACTCCCAACTTGTAGTAGATATATTTTGAGTGTCCATTTCTGCCACACTCATCTGCTGAGGGACCACATTTTCTTGTGTCCCTGGAGGTGTCGTCCCAACTTTATTTTGGTTTCTATCATGAACATTTGATTTTGTTCCTTTCTTCTCAATGACCTCAGACAGGCTGCCAAAAAGAATCTTGTCCTGATGTATGGCACATTTCTTATATTGTAAATGCACAAAAGGCGGTGATTGATCCCATTCCGGTTTTGGTAATCCATTCTCTTTGATATCTAAACACAGTTCCATTACTTCTGTAGGGTGTCCTGTATTTTTCAGTGTATCTAGATGTGTCAGGAGGCTCTCTGTGGAGGCTTTCGCGATCTGTAACTTTTCCACACAAGATATTCTTGATTTAATTTGTGTACCTTGCCTATTGTAGATTTCATTAATCTTTGAGTCAAATTCCTTGTTGATGGCATCATGTGCTTGTTTGCGGTTTAGATTCACCTGTTCAATTAATCTCACATTTTTTGTCATGATTTCGGCATTCTCTTCTTCCTTTGTGTCAATAATATCACTAAGTGATGTTAGTTGTTGTTCAACTGTTTTGTTAGTGTCACTGAGTTGAATTTCTGCAGCTTTGTTTATGTCAACAAATGTGTGGCCATCGTGGTGGTCAGCGTAACACTTATAACATATAAGTGTATTATCATCTTGGCAGTATAGCTCTAGTGGTCTATCTGGGTGATATTTACAACTGAAGCTTTTAGCATCGCTTGATTGAGATTGAGTCGTCTTTTTGACAATATCCATAAGTGTATTAATAAGGAAACTAGGCTTTAAGGCATCTGCTCCCTCATTAGGAATCTGCCATATGTCTCTGCATATAGGGCAGGGTAAACTCTGCTCTGGTGCATTTGTTTGAATTAAGTCCTGAATACATCTTAGACAAAATGAATGTTGGCATGGCAATGATTTTGGCTGATTTAATGGCTCCAAGCAAAGTTTACATTCAAGAATGTCTTCAATTCGCTCATCTTGTATAGTTGATTGTGACGCCATTTCCTTCAAATGAACAAAGCTATAATGCTTGGTAATCTTTATTACTGTATTCAATCTAAAAATGTCATTATTTTTAGTTTAGTTAATATTTACCGAGGTTTGAGTCATAATCCAATCTTTGTTAAATACATCTGATATTTCTACGAAGTTCTTTATTGTATTTCTGAGAAGTTCTTAAGTATACTTCTAAGAAGTTCTACATTGCCCCCTTACCAATCCTTTACTGAGTACATACTTTGTACATATCCTGCTCATGATGCTCAATTCCAACTATATTTATTCACACTGCATGAAGTATAGTGTTGTTTCTTTCATTTTAGTGTGTAGTAATGATTCATAATAGGTCAAACTGACATTCATATTATTCACTATTTATATACTTCCTGGTGATAATACTGCCATCTATCTCAGATACAGTTGTCTTATTTTTGTATAACTCAACATGTTAACTCTATTCAATACCTTACCTACCTTGTCAACAGCCTACTTAACCAAGGGCAAAATTAACATAATTTATGACACGCTATAAAGATTTCAACAAACATCTGATGAAGTTTTGTGTTTGTTGGGTGAATTTACTAAATTACGTGTCTGTCATGATATTTATCCCTGTGTGTGTTGTTTTACTTCCAGAGGGTACCAGCAACAAGATGCCCATGAGTTTATGAGATATCTCCTAGACAGACTACACACAGAGTTGTTAACTCTACTTCCTTACCCAAACAACAATAGTCCATATATAGGCCCTAAAGGCAAGAGCACCATTGTCACTGCCATATTTGGTGGTATTCTACAGAATGAAGTGAACTGCCTCATATGTGGAATAGAGTCCAAAAAGCATGATCCCTTCCTAGGTTAGTAGTGCTTCATGTTTGATTTTGATTTCTATTCTGAAGACATAAAAAGCCTCCTTTTCATAAAGAATTGCAAAGTTTTGACATATCCCTTCTTTCTTAGAATTCGTGAAAGGTTTTCCAGTGAGATATGTGACAATGAGTGCCATTTTTCTTAACTATGACTTTAGTAAAACTAAATCATTTCAATCTTTCATGATTTACCAATTTTCAAGTGGTGCAAATAGATTTTCATGTGGGTGCAAACCTATTTTAAAGTCTCAAATTGGTGCAGCGCCAATTCTTTAAATGCTGTGGAGATCACTGTAATGTTATTTTCAGATTTCCCCTGGTCAACTAAAACCTTGTTAGATAATGGTTCTACTGTACATAATGCATGTATTCATAGATTTATCCCTTGACATCCCACAACATTTCACGGCAAAGTCTCATAAGGCTAAGGAGGGTGAGACGATATGTCATTTGAAGGACTGCCTCGCCAGCTTCACAGATGTGGAAGAACTAGAGGAGTCTGAACTCTACATGTGCGGAAACTGTAAGAAAAAACAGCGGTCTACAAAAAAATTCTGGCTTAGACGTCTACCTAATGTAAGTTTTTTTTTGGCTTATATGTTTCAAGCCTGTGGAATTGCTCATTCATCTGTCACCCATCCGTTAACCACTTTCTATCAAGTAAAAATTGGTTAATGCTTAAATAAATGCTCATATCCAATAATATCACATTTTTCCCAGTTTACCAGTGTATCATTTTTAGTATTCCCAAATCAGATAACATATGAGCAGTGATCAATAAGTTATGGACATTTTTTTGGTCCATTAAAGATTTCTTTGTAAAAAGCATCCATTACTTATTGATCACCCCTCAAATATTGTATTTGATTTTGAGAAGTAACAATAAGAACATTGAACATGACTCAAATATTAAACTAAGCCCTGGTACTTTACACGAATCAAGCTCAAAAAGAGCTTTACAGTTTCGCTGCCCTTAATAAAAGAACAAGTTGTCATTAACATCTTGAATATTACCAGTGTGTTCAAAGATTGAGCCAATTTAGTCATAAATTCGGTGACTGATATATCCATCACTCTGTTATTCAAGGGTTCAATCAATTATTTATTCAACATAATTTCTGCATTACATTTAACATAATGTTCATTGGCATCACAACAGAGATTGTTAGGTGGGTCAAACTGGGATTCGATGAATGTGTACCATGTTGTATCCAGCGTAACACATTCTTGCATACGAGAGAAGGCAAACACTCGGTAGCCTGGGGATCCAATCGGAAGCTCTGATGGATTGTATTCATGGATCTCATGACACATATGATCTCCATAGGTTTCATTCTGGAAGACAAGTACAGTTTAAATGTTTAAGTTGTTGAGAATATTGCGGTATGTTGAAATATTGTTGTACGAGGGTTGATCCAAAAGTTCTCCACCGTTTTATCTAAAAACATTATTTTTTGGTGAATTTTGTTCAAACTTGGTCAGGAGCAACATGTATATGATAGCTTGGTATTGTATCAATATCGTTGAAAAAGTATAATATTAACTATGTCATTTGGTTACCATAGTAACAGGACAATGAGGTAGGCGGAGCTGAATAAAATCACTGTTTATTACAATTTCTTGTCAACCAATGTGGTATTATTACAGAGTTTTAACTAGGGGTTTTAACATTAATGAAGGCTCTTATTTGATACAATATCAATGTTCATTCTTCCTCAAAATACTCCCCACCATGAGCTATGCATTTATTGCATCGTTTTATCCAATCATCGAACACATGCCGAAGTCCATTCCTATCAACTAAATACACACTGTTGGTAAACGCTTCAATCAGCGACTCATCTTCTGCAAAACGAATCCCACGGAGGGGCTTCTTAGCTTCAGGAAACATGATTGTGGAAGTCACAGGGAGCTGTATCTGGGGAATATGGGGGATGCTTGACAAGTTCTGCTTGTAAATGCTCATGTATAACTTCTATTGTGATGTTAGCTCTGTGGGCAGGGGCGTTGTCATGATGGAAGTAGAAGCCGTCTGCAATAAACTCTGGCCTCTTCTTCCTGATGGCATCTTTCAGATTCTTCCTTAGCAAATGAAACACATCAATTATGATACCTCAGTTCATTTTCTAGTATCACGAATAGACCCACATACATGTACATGACATATTGTATAACTATGAAGGTACCATGGAAAGCCATATTATATCAACTAAGACATCGAAGAAATCAAGTGTCCAAAACACAGGGTCCAAGTCAGGTCCAAAACCCGGGATTCACAACTTACCTTTGAATAATATGCAGAATTCACAGTAACTCCAGTTGGCACGGTGTGAATGAGGATGATTCCGTGGATGTAGAAAAAGACGATAAACATCACTTTAGATGCAGATTTCTGTACCTTTGCCTTCTTAAGCCTATCAAATTCAACTCCACAGTACTGGCTACGCTAAGAAGCCCCTCCATAGGATTCGTTTTGCAGATGATGAGTCGCTTATTGAATGGACTTCGGCAATCGGCATGTGTTCAATGATTGGATAAAGCAATGCAATAAATGCATAACCCATGGAGGGGACTGTTTTGAGGGAGAATGAACATTGATATTGCATCAAATAAAAGCCTTCGTTAATGTTAAAACCCCTAGTTAAAACTCTGTAATAATACCACATTGTTTGACAAGAAATTGTAATAAACAGTGATTTTATTCAGCTCCACCAACCTCATTGTCTTGTTACTATGGTAACCAAATGACATAGTTAATATTATATTTTTTCAATGATATTAATACAATAGCAAGCTATCATATACATGTTGCTCCTGACCAAGTTTGAACAAAATTCACAAAGAAATAATTTTTTTAGATAAAACGGTGGAGAACTTTTGGATCAACCCTCGTATGTTGGAATATTGCCGTATTCTGGAATATTGCTGTATGTTGGAATATTGCCGTATGTTGGAATATTGCAATATGTCAGAATATTGCCGTATGTTGGAATATTGCTGTGTGTTGAAATATTGCCGTATGTTGGAATATTGCCGTATGTGGGAATATTGCCATATATTTGAAAATTGCCATATGTTGGAATATTGCCATATGTATATTGTTAATGTTTTGCAGACTTCTTATTTTCTAGGGAATTGTAAGTGGATGGTTCAAATTTCAAGGCTTCAAATATCACAATCCCAGATGGTTGTGTTTTCAGAAGGGTATTTGGGGATACTAGTTGCATATGTGGGAGGGGAGTCTATCCAGCTATATTTTATGCCGCTTAATAAAGGCCAAGTAGAAAGAATTGATCTCATTTTATTATATTTAGTCCATCAACTCATTACCTTACATGCTGTGTATCACATATCTTTCCTAAAGTCATCTCTCTAGGCCTACCTCAGAAAATCATCCCACTTGCCCACCTTGAATCCCAAAACCAGCCCTTTTCATGCACCTTTATATTAATGTCACCACCACAAGTAGTGACATATTGTTATAGTCTCGAACTTTTTTTGTGTTTGGTGTTCAGCAGACAGCATTTGACGTACAACAGTTGGCATTTGTAACAAATTGCATGTGGTGACATTTTGCATGTTAATGCCTTGTTTAAGGTTATCCCACCCTCTTAACATTACCCCTATTACTGTTCGCCAGTTCATAATACATAAACACATAGACTCACTTCATGATCAGAGCCATCTGCAATTACAGTTTCGAAAGTGAGGTTTCCACTTCTGATTTGGTCTCTACAGTACTGGTCACAAATGTTCAAGTCTCCGGGGATACATTCTGTACGATCATCAAGGTTCACAAATGCTCCAGTAAGCTCCTCTAGGACAGGCTGAATTTCACCCAAGGAGCCATTTTCTCTTAATAGGGAACATTCACACCTGGAATTACCTGCATTTGATTGGTTTGTTTCTATCTGATAAGCTGGAAATCTGTTTCAGTAAATTGTTTTCAAGTAAAATATGAATAGGAAGATGAGGCCTTTAATTGCTTCTTGGATCTGATTTCACATTTAATGAAATGTGGATTAAGTGTATAAAATTTATATTTTTAATGATGTTGAACCTCATCAGATATGTTCCCATATTTAGTTGCAACATTTAGTAACTCCACTTACCAATAGAGGGTGCTATCTTGTGCAAGAGAAATTCCTGCCTGGAGCGATATTGCAAGAAAAAGTATCAACATGATGACCTTAATGTTTAGTATGTTACATTGTGTCAAACTGAATGCCTTTTATATATGCATAATTTGACAAATTATGAAGGATTGGGCGTTTTGATTGTGAGAATTCACATATTTTTTGATAAGGATGTCTGGTCCCATTTATTTGTGTCAAATATAGTTCACATAATTTCACATATTTACCACATATTTTTTGTTCATCATGCATAGAACTATACATATGTAAAACTTTTCATTCATTTTCATCCAGATTTTTAACCAGTTTTATCTTACTTGATGTTACAACTTGGAAAACAAAAATCCCCAACAATAATTTAAACAGTACAGTAAAACCTATATGTCTAAGAGAACACCTCTCTGTAGGAAACAAGAAATGCTCCTTTATAAAGAGTGCTCCCTGTACACAGGTTTTACTGTACTAAAATAATGAACACCTTTGTAAGAAACGCTTCTTTACAACAAATGATTTCGGCCAGTACAGGAACTGCCTGCTGCTGTTGCATACCCACCCTATGCAGACAGAGCCTGTGGGAAATATTGGGTGCGGAGCAAATGAGCGGAGGGTGCGGAGCTAACGGTCATTTTTGAATTTAAATTTGGGATATTTCTGAAACTAAGCCGTTATGGGACTTCAAATATACCAAGATATGTGTATTTGACACCAAATATCAATACAATTGTGAAAATAGTAGCGCAATTCATTCTATAGCGGCGCAGTGTGCCTTAAACTTTTCCCAGACCTATATATTTTGAAATTATCCTTTTAATACTGAGTCCCCAGCATTCATAAAAAATGGTGTTCAAGGTACACTATCTATACAAATTATTTTTGCATCTTGGAAGCCAGGCAGCCAGCCAGGAGCTCCATAAACCAATACAGTACCTCCGCACCCAATATTTAGAGGGGGCTCATATCTGAAGAACATTTCCGAATTTTTATAAAATCACACAGATACTGCCTGGCTTCCAAGATGCAAAAATAATTTGCATGGATAGTGTATCTTGAACACCATTTTTTATGAATGCTGGGGACGCAGTATTAAAAGGATAGTCTCAAAATATATAGGTCTGGGAAATGTTTAAGGCATAATGCGTCTCTATAAAATGAATTGCACTACTATTTTCACAATTTTATTGATATTTGGTGTCAAATACACATATCTTGGTATATTTGAAGTCCCAAAACGGCTTAGTTTCAGAAATATCCCAATTTTAAATTCAAAAATGACCGTTAGCTCCGCACCCTCCGCTTATTTGCGCCGCTGTGTCAATGATGATGTCAGTATGATGTCACAATGTCAGTATGATGTCACAATTTCCTATTTACTTGCAGGTGCTCTGCTTACATCTAAAGAGGTTCCGCTGGAGCACATACTTCAGAGTAAAACTTGAGACATTTGTTCACTTTCCATTGCGAGGTTTAGACATGAACAACTATATGCTCAACAACATGGTAAGTTATTGAACATACTAGAAGTTGCTACCACTGGAACATACTTGTGATACATATTCAAATATACCTAATGTTTCTCAGCCAATCAGCTTAGAGCATTTCATTGCAATAATTTATCAGTATAGAATGATACGCGATGCTTTATAGCTATAGCTAAGCACAATCACTTTATATTTTGCCCCCATATAACTTTTAACATCAAATTTGGTACAAGTATAGCTTAATTCATTTGAAGGAATTGAAGCATTTTGAAAGGATTTTGTGCCTGTGTAACACCTTCCATTTCTATTGCTCAATTCTCACGATAACCCCTTGTGTCTATCAGTATTATTATTAAATGGTCTAAATGTTTATGTTTTCCAGCATGAGACGCGAGGAAACACAAATGGTAGTACCATGTATGACCTAGCTGCAGTAATAGTTCACCATGGATCAGGGTGAGTGCCATGGGTAATGTAACTGGAACTTATAAATAAATAGAAAAAACAAAAACAAAAGTTCACCATGGATCAGAGTGAGTGCCATCAATAATGTAACTAGAATTTCTAAATAAATAGAAAAAACAAACACAAAAAGTTCACCATATAAATAAATAAATAAAAAAAGAAAAAATAGTTCACCATGGATCAGAGTGAGGAGTATCAATGACTGAAAAGTAATTCACCATCCAGCCATGTGCCCTTTGATATACTACATTAACCTGATAAAATAATTGAATTGTTGATTCTGCTTTCTTGTAGAGCCGGATCAGGGCATTACACATCATACGCCATCCATGAAGGTGAGTGAACCGGATCTTTGAAATGAAATATATGCCTCATTTCACTTTGGAAAATTCTGGTCTAGCTTTTCCTTGGCCAAATTTTGAACAAAAATTGGCAAGTCTTTATGTGAAATATTAGTCTCTCTTAGAGCATCCTGGAGAATTTAAGATCCCCTAAGTGACCTGAATGTAATAAATAAGCTTTCAGTCTTAAAGTTTGAATAAGCGGGAGAGTTTTCCACCTTGTTGAGTGCTAATATTTGAAATACAACTAATATTAGGGACTATTTTCTGCAGGGCGATGGTACCACTTCAATGACAGCACAGTGTCCCTGAGTGACGAAGAGACCGTAGCTAAGTGTAAAGCTTACATTTTATTCTACGTGAGACGCGAGTTTAAGCTTCCTGACTTCGTTCCAAACTCGGACTGATGCCACCAAATATAGGCATAATGTTTAATCTGATCCAACACCTAGTAGAATGTGGTAGTCGATGCCCTTTTAAGGCATCTTATCTACACTTGTGACTTGATTGGAGATTATGAGTTCAGCGATACCAAATATGGAATGTGCCTATATGTATGTCCATATATGGGAAAGTATGGTTATGTAGCAGAGAGACGACTCTGACCTCGTGGAATGTAAGAATGAATCATAAGACCAACACCTATGGCGAGAAGAAAGTAATCGTCAGCATAAGATGAGAGACCTATGTTTCTAGGCAAATAGAGATAATTAATAAATTGAAGTTAAACAGACCGTAAAACTTTGGAAGATAGTGTGAAATCGTGAATTTCAACTATCAAATTGCTTTTGGACAATGTTCTAAGGCAAATAGAGACAATACATTTGATAGAAAATACAGTCAAGAAGTATAGTGATAGTTTGAAATCACATATTCCTAAATTTTAACTATCAAATCAAATTTGAACTACGATGCTGGCTAAAGCGTCACAGAACAAGCCTAATCTTGGGGCATAATTGATTTTGTAGAATTCCCAACAACCTGCTTACATGTCAGTAATGTTTCATAAAAATTCTTGAAATTTTAAGATTTGATTCCCGTCAGAATTTCTTAATGATATATATGATGCATTGTATACCTCCATACTGTTGTATTGTGATCCATGCAAATGTAACTTATACAAGGTTTCTTTCTTGTGATGTCTGTTGCTATGGTAATACAGTGCACTATTCATTTACTTCAATCTAAGAGAGATTTAATAAGTTGTTCGTTTAATTCTTGTTCAATCACTTCAATTGTCAATCAATTCAGATTCAGCTGGCAAACTAGTCTCTATGTTCTCAGGTTCTTCCACTTCCGTATCCCAATAATGTCTGAAAATTCACTATGCACTGGTTGCCAACACAACATGTACTTAAAGACATTTCAAATGTACATGTATATTGTACAGCAGCTTGATATTCATTCAAAAGACTGGGGAAGATGGAACAGTCCATGTTCTCCCAAAGTTGGACAGTTCACGTGAACATGTAGCTTATAAGTTATATGGTAGGTGTATGGTGCAATGGTATCATATTTCCAAATGTCAAAATGCTAATAAAATATGAACAAACATGAGATAACTTACAGTTTTGTTTAATATATGCAAATGTATTTCCATACTTCTATGTTGAACAAATGCAGTCTTGTGCTGAGCTCCAAGAAAATGAGCCATGGAACATAGTCTTGCACTCATCTCAAAGGGAACATTCCATTGGCTCATGTGAAAACAGTGAAGATGATAAAAAGTTACAAACATTTTATCAGTTGCTATAGCATAACTTTAACAATGTAATATTTGGTGATAGGCAATATTTATTTTTATAAAAAAAATAGTGAAATGTTTGTACTATGACTAGCATGTTTTGTCAGGTTGAAGATTTTTATTCTTTTTATTTATATTTAGTCATCCTAAGATATTGTGGAATTCTTATAACATGGTGGATATACATTTTATTCCACACTGGCATATGTGCAACATTCTGGCATTTCTAAAGACAGACTAATATACAGTCTTTGTACCTCTAAAAGGTGTTCTACTTGGATGGTGTTCTACTAAAAGAGGTTCATTTAACAATAAGTCAGTTGGTCTTGGTACTCTTAAAAGTGTTCCACTAACAGAACTGGTGTTCCACTTCTAGAGGTGTTCCTCTTTACATGTTATGAATATATCATTTATAGGCATTTACATTACATTACATTTTTATAGCACAAAACATTATGTTTTAAAATATGTTCAATACAATTGTTGAACCTCTAGATTTGGTGGAAAATAATTCCACTTATAACATTTTCCCATTGCTTCATAAAAGGTATGACATTTAGGAGAGCACTTAAAAATGGCCACTTAGGGTTACACCGTGACATACATTGCAAAGTACAGTTTGATTTATGGACTACAAAAGATAAGTTCATTGTTCTTAATAATGGTAAGTTAACATCAATATAAACCCAGCCCATATGAGCTTATCAGTCATGTATATGAACGAAGGGATTGTCTCAAGTTTTCTCTGCACTGTCCATTCATAATGCCAACCTGAAACATCTCTGCTAAAACAGCACTGGTTGATGACGAGGATGATGATACCGTTTTAGTGTGTACTAAATCCCACTGATCTCCAGTTAGAATACGTTTAAATCAAACCTCAGATCTACGTGGCCTCTGTCCATGACTCTATCGGCCCCTTTAAAGAGATTTGGGAGATACAATTACGTAGTAAAGCTATATTTTTCACTAAATTGTAAATGTACATGTACGATGTGTAAGTGATTTTGTTTCATTCATTGCTGGGTTGTATAGACAAGTTTCATAAACATGGATACTAGTATGCAAAGACCTCGTGGACACAAAAATGGGTAATATTTAAAAAAAATTAAGTGAAACTTTTGAGCTGCCCTTTATATTAGGTGGATACACCTTTTTAAGTGTAAGTATACTGAGAAGTGTTCACGATTCTGATAATTTAAAAGTTCACAATATCCAAAAAGAGATTTTAACTCAGTACTAGTACAAAAAAAGGTCACGTGAGATAGTTAAGTTTAGTGCATGTGTCAATCACTTGGGTTGAATCGAGTCATTTGGTGGTTATCTATAATACAAGGGCCGAGCAATATATTCACTACTTTTTGCTTTATTTTCTTTTATATTTGTTTATTTCCATTGAAATTTGGTACAGACATAGAGTGTAGAATTCCGCATCTTTTGATTCCATTTTCAAGCCCATTGCCAAATATGGCAAAAAATTATGGTTGTCATAGCAACGGGAGGAATGAGCCACCGGAGCTGCCCATAATTTTACTGCAATTGCACATGCAACAATATCTTTATATGCCCATTTCTCATAACAAAAACATTCAGTTTGGGTAATTTTTATAAACATTGTTTACTGGACATTGATCCAATATTCAGAACAATGGTTGTGATGTCATAGATGTTCTTTTCAAACAATAAAGAGGTCACAATTGATCCGCATATGAATCACAAAAGGGAGACTCTGCTTCCTGAGTTGCATCAAGAAGCAAGCATGGTAAATGCAAATCTAAAAGAACAGAGACTTTGTATAAAAATATCAGTGAAAAAGGGACACACATTAAAAAAAGCTGCTCCATCACACCGTGAAATAACTGATATATTAGCAGCTCTAAACATTGAAAAATTTGATCATGCACCATACAGTCCAGACCTTGCATTGTGCGACTTTGAAATTTTCGGCAAACTGAAGAATGAGCTACGCGGGTAGAGGTTTGGTGACCGTGAAGAAGTGGTTGAGGCCGTCCATAAGGCCCTAAAAGACCTATATGGAAATGGAAACGGACTGCAACAGGCCTATCAAGACTGGCTTTCCCGATGTAGAAAATGCATAGCTGCAGATGGACAGTATTTTGAGAATGAGGCATGGAATGAGGAGTAACTGTCTTAATTAAAAAAAGGACATTTTGTATAAAAGTTGTTTTCTGAAACATTGTCACAAATTGTCTGCTCCGGTGGTCACTATCAACCAATATTCAATGCCATGTAAAATATTACAGATGTAACCAAATAAATGCACATTTGGTGATATTACCACACCCGGTGATCGTGAATATGGGACGGAGGGGGGGAGCAGGCAATTTCTGCTAGGAAATTCAACAAATCTGGAAGATTTATTTTTTCAAGAAAAAGTTTACTATTGAATTGCTAAATGGATAGGCACACGGTATGGTAGAATATGTTAGGTTTTCTGGGATTTTTTCTGAAACGATACGCATCTAAGGTATGAGATCTATTAAAAAAGGCGCAAGGCCATCAACAGGCACAAATCAACGTTTTTGCTATAAATCAAGCAACAATGGTCTGGACGACCTGTAATAAATACTTGTAAGTGATGTTATCATAACTAAATTAATGTCATTGCTGAATTTATAAAATAAGTTTCCATATGTGAAATAAGAAATAATCGAAAATAATGAATTTGGGACGGAGGGGGGGAGGGGACGGAGGGGGGGGAGCAATATGTATATAAGACATGATTAGAGATGTTTCGCGACTTTAAGTCCTTTTACTCCAAATGTCCCCATTTTTCAGTCTCCAGGGGTATATCATCCAGTTTCTTACTAAGTTAATGAGTTCATTTTTCAAATAGAAGAATTCGTGTGAAGTTGTTTCACTTTATAGAATTATTACTCCCCCCCTCCGTCCCCTCCCCCCCTCCGTCCCATTTTAATTATTTTCGATTATTTTTTATTTTACGTATTGAAACTTATTTTATAAATTCAGCAATGACATTAATTTAGTTATGATAACATCACTTACAAGTATTTATTACAGGTCGTGTAGTCCATTGTTGCTTGATTTATAGCAAAAACTTTGACTTTTGCACGTTGGTTGCGTTGCGCCTTTTTTAATAGATCTTATATCTTAAAAGAGTATCGGTTGAAAAATAATCCTAGAACACCTAACATATTTTATCATACCGTGCGCTTATTCAATTTGCAATTCAATCGTAAACGCTGTCTTGAAAAAATAATTTTACCAGATTTGTTGAATTTTCTAGCGGAAATTGCCTGCTCCCCCCCTCCGTCCCAATTTCACGATCACCGGGTGTGATTACAGAAAAATGTTTTTTCTATTATTTTGGAAAATTTCAGGTAAAATACTTTATTATTAACAATCTGAGAGCAAAAAGTAGCGAATATATTGCTCGGCCCTTGTATATGATGGATATTGATGTCATTTTTGTTTACTTGACTCCTGTCATTAAATACATATCATATGAGTGAAGCCCTCATATCAAGGGAGAAAAGCAAACTCAATTTTCAAAGAACATATATTATGTTTACTGTATATATACAATAAAATATTGCTGTCCTGAATTTTATGGTCTGACGATTATATCAAAAGCGTTATATAATTTGAGATCTGTGTTGGACTATGTGCTTCCTGGGGTATAATTAATGCCAAAATGTTACAGAATTGTAAACATTTCTGATTGTTCCATAGATTCTACTTCTACAGTCCAATAATATCACATTTTCCCAGTTTACATGTCCAATAATATCACATTTTCCAAGTTTACCTGTTTTATAATATCACATTTTCCCAGTTTACCTGTCCAATAATATTGCATTTTTCCCAGGTAAATTGTCCAATAATATTGCATTATTTCCCTGTTTACCTGTATCACATTTTCCCAGTTTAGCTGTCTTATAATATCACATTTTCCCAGTTTAGCTGTCCAATAATATCACATTTTCCCAGTTTACCTGTCCAATAATATCACATTTTCCCAGTTTACCTGTCCAATAATATCACATTTTCCCAGTTTACCTGTCCAATAATATCACATTTTCTCAGTTTACCTGTATTATTTAAAGTGTTCCAAAATCAAAGAACATATGAGTGGTGATCAATAAGTAATGGACACCTTTTTGGTCCATTAAAAGTGTCTGTGTAAAAAAGCATCCATTACTTATAAATCACCCCTCGTATGTTGCATTTGATTTTTATCCCACCGAACGAAGTTCGAGGGGGATATAGAGATTAGAGAAGCCGTCCGTCTGTCCGTCCGTCCATTCATTCATCCGTGTGTCCAGGCGATAACTCCAATACCGGTTGACGGATTTGGTTCAAATTTTATAGGCTTATGCCTTATGAGTGTAGGACCTCTGATTGAGAAGGAATTTTCAATATGGCCGCTCAATTCAAAATGGCCGCCATTTTTCGTAAAAAATGTAATCGTTGATAACTCAAATACAAGTTGGCGGATTTGGTTCAAATTTTATATGCTGATGCCTAGTGACAAAGGAGTTTCGCACAAAAAGAGATTTTCAAGATGGCCGCTTAATTTCAAAATGGCGGCCATTTTTCGTAAAAATATGTAATCTTTGATAACTCTAATACCAGCAAACGGATTTGTTTTAAATTTTATATGATAATGCCTAGGGAAACAGTTGCTCTGTTCAAGGAAGAATTTTCAAAATGGCAGCTGAATTTCAAAATGGTTGCCATTTTTCTTAATTCAAATATTATATGCTGATACCTAGGGACACTATACATGTAGCTCTGTTCGAGAAAGATTTTCAAAATGACTGCAGAATTTCAAATGGCCGCCATTTTTAGTAAAAAAGAATATAATCTTTGATAACTCAAATTTTAATTTATGGATATGGTTTACATTTTATATGTTGATGCTTAGGGACAAACAAGCTCTGCTCAAGAAGGAATTTTCAAGATGACCACTAATAATCTAAATATGATTTGTTCGGTGGGATTTGCTACTCCGTGGAATTGCTGTTTTTCTAGTAAGAAATATTTATAAGAACATTGAACATTATTCAAAGGGCAAACTAATCCACAACAATGGCATTTTACTCAATTCAAGTTTAACAAACAGCTTTACAGTTATATTGCCGTTCATAACAACATGTTTTTATTTTTTATTTATTCAATAAAATTTCTGCATCACAATCAACATAGGTTCCACCTGCAGAACAACAGAGGTTGTTAGGTGGGTCAAATTGTGAGTCAGGGAATGTGAACCATGTTGTATCCAGTGTAACACAATCTTGCATACGAGCAAAGGAATACACTGGGTAGCCTGGGGATTCAATAGGAAGCTCTGTTGCATTGTAAGCTGCTATCCTTTCACACATGTGATCTCCATAGGTTTCATTCTGGAAGACGAGTACAGTTTAAATGGCTTCCTAAATTGTTGAATATATTGCCATGAGTTGGGCAGACTTCTCATTTTTTAGCACAATGTTGTAAGGATAGTTTAAATTTCAAGGCTCCAAATATCACATTCACAACTGGTTGTGTTTTAGAGGAGTCTTTAAGCTGATTGCGTATTTTGAAGGGGGTCTATCATCTGGTAGTGCATTTGGGAGGGTGGTGTATTAGCTGATTAAAATTGGGTGGTCTATCATTGGTTTTATGCCTTATAACTTTGTGGATTATCTCATATTTTCTCAGACCCAATGAATTCTCATTCCTTATCTTGTATTTTATATGCAAGTAGAGTTAATTGACTCATTACATTATATATGACCCCATCAACATATCACCTTACATTGTATTGCATATCTTTCCTAAAGTCATCTCACGAGGCCTGCTTTTATTCAAAAAATCATCCCACTTGCCCACCTTGAATCCAAAACCATCCCTTGTGTATTAAAGGTTATCAGACCAGAGACCACCCTCATTAACATAACTGATAAAACACATTTGTTGCTATTCTCATGTTCATAATACATAAACACATAGACTCACTTCATGATCTGAGCCATCTCCAATTGGAGTCAGGAAATCGAAATTTCCATTTATTTCACTTTTGATTTGTCCTCTGCAGTACTGGTCACATGTGTTCAAGTCCCCATTGTTACACTCCAAACGGTTGTCAAGGTTCACAAACGCCCCAGTGAGGTTCTGCAGGAGTGGCTCTATTTCATCCTGGAAGCCATTTTCTCTAAATAGGGCACATTCACACCTGGAATAGACCTTTCCAATAAACCCCGCCACTTTTTGGTGAATCTGAAGAAGCTATGCTAAAATTGGGTTGGTCGATGATGTAATTGGTTGTGCTTTTTCAAAATTAGCAAACCTAAAAATAAGGCTCGGTAACTCAATAAAATATGCGTTATTTCTAATAATGATGTATTGATTGAAGGTATGTGCATTTTATCAGAGGGGGGCAATTGTGAAAATGATTAGGTGCAGTGCATAACAACGGTTTTCAATGACCAAATTGAAATTGATTCCAGATTTTGGTTTCAATGATTTGAAATTGATTCCAGATTTGTTTTTCAGCGATCTGAAATTGATTCCAGATTTTGTTTCAGTAATCTCAGATTGATTCCAGATTTTTGTTTTAATGATCTCAAATTAATTTTGCTTTAAGATCTCAAATTGATTCCAGATTTTGTTTCAGTGATTTGAAATTGAATCCAGATTTTTGTTTCAGTGATCTGAAATTGATTCCAGATTTTGTTTCAGTAATCTCAGATTGATTCCAGATTTTTGTTTTAATGATCTCATTTTTGTTTTAATGATCTCAAATTGATTCCCGATTTTTCTTTCAAAGTTCTCTTTTCTATTTTAAGCTTAACCTCATCGAATATGTTGCAACATTTAATAACTCCACTTACCAATAGAGGGTGTTGTTCTCTTGTGCAAGAGAGATTCCTGCCTGAAGCGTTATTGCAAGAAATAGCATCAACATGTTCACCTTAATGTTAGCTTCCATTGAATGCTTTTTATTAAATTATATGCATTGTGTGATAAATTATGAAGGATTGGTCATTATAATTGTGAGAATTCACATATTTTTATAAGATGATTAGGATGTCTACTCTAATTTATTCATGACAAATATAGTTTCATGTTATTTCACATTTTTTCACATTGGTCACCATACTTAGAAATATCTAAAACTTTTGATTAATTTGTCACTAAATTTCATCTTTCTTGGTGTTGTAACAATTCTGGGAAAACAAACATCTCCAGCAATAATTAAGTAGTAAAGTAAAACCTATATGTGCAAGAGAACATATCTCTATAAAAAATTACTCTTTATAAATGCTTCTATATAAAGGGTGTTCCCTTTACACAGGTTTTACTGTACTAAAGTAATGAACACCGCACATCTCTGGAGGAAACATCTCTTAACAAGAAATGCTCATATACAAAGGGTGTTCCCTGTACACAGGTTTTGCTGTACTAAAATAATGATATTCATCCACACTGATGGAGTCACCAAAATGTCCGAGTGGTGTTCTAACAAAATTGGACATTCCATGTTCTCACAAAGTTGGACAGTCCAGGTTCTCACAAAATTGGATAGTCCATTTTCTCACAAATTAAACAGTTTGTGTTCTCACAAAGTTGGACAGTCCATTTTCTCACAAATTAAACAGTTTGTGACAAAGTTGGACAGTCCATGTGAACATCTAGCTTCTGAGTGATGTGGTAGGTGTATGGTGCAATGGTATCATGTCCAAAAATCAAAATGCCAATAAAACAAACATGAAATGAATTGACACTTTTGTATAATATAAGACCACTAAACAATACTTACAGGTTAACCCCACATCTATGACATTTTACACAAATCAAGTTCAAAAACAGATTTACGTTATATAATATAGGAACAAATTTTTATTAACATCTTGAATACTAATAGCATTTCTATTTTTACTTGTTTTTGCGATGTGTCAGAGTCAATACAGTCATATACATTCAGTGACTGATATAACCATCATTCTGGGTATTCAAGGTGTTTATCATTTATTTATTCAACAAGTTTCCTGCAATACAATCAAAGTAAGTTTCATCTGTACTACAGCAGAGGTTATTAGGTGGGTCAAATTGTGAATCGGGGAATGTGTACCATGTTGTATCCAGTGTAACACAATCTTGCATACGAGCAAAGGAATACACTGGGTAGCCTGGGAATTCAATGGGAAGCTCTGTTGCATCGTTAGCCGCTATCATTTCACACATATGATCTCCATAGGTTTCATTCTGGAAGACAAGTACAGTTTAAATGGCTTCCTAAATTGTTGAGAATATTGCCAAAGTTGGGCAGACCTCTCATTTTCTAGCACAATGTAAGGATGGTTCAAATTCCATGGCTCCAAATATCACATTCACAATTTTAATCTGTGTGTTTTGGGGTCGATTGACTAATTGCATATTTGGGAGTGGAGTCTATCATCTGGTAGTGCATTTGGGAGGTTATTTACATAATGCATTATGCATAGACAATCACCATATTAACTTGCATTCTGTGTATTGAATCTATTTCCCTTTATCCCAAAAACATCCCACTTGTCCATCTGAAATCCAGAAACCATCATGTTTCATGCACTTTTATTTTCAGTTTACCCTGCCCTTTAATGTTACTGATAATGTATGTATACATCTGTTACCGTTCTCATAAGCACATAGACTCACTGTATGATTTGAGCCATCCCCCACTAGAGTCTCGAATGTGAAGTTTCCGTTTATTTCACTTTTGATTTGTCTTCTACAGTACTGGTCACATGTGTTCAAGTCCCCATTGTTACACTCCAAACGATCGCCGAGGTTCACAAAGCCCCCGGTAAGGCTCTGCAGGAGTGGCTCTATTTCATCCTGGAAGCCATTTTCTCTAAATAGGGCACATTCACACCTGGAATACACCTTTCCAATAAGCCCCGCCACTTTTTGGTGAATCTGAAGAAGCTATGCTAAAATTGGGTAGGTCGATGATGTCATTGGTTGTGCTTTTTCAAAATTAGCAAACCTAACAATGAGGCTCGGTTACTTAATAAAAAATTTGTTATTTCTGATTATGTTGTATCGACTAAAGGTATTGTACATTTTATCTAAGGGAGCAATTGTAAATATGTTATAGTATATATGTATAGAATTGTATAATAACAGTTTTCAATGAACAAATTGAAATTGATTCCAAATTTTTGTTTCAATGATCTCTATATTACCTCATCAAATATGTTCCCATATTTGCTTGCAATATTTAGTAACTCCGCTTACCAATAGAGGGTGTTGTTCTCTTGTGCAAGAGAGATTCCTGCCTGAAGCGTTATTGCAAGAAATAGCATCAACATGTTCACCTTAATGGTAAGTACTATGCAAGTACTCATTGAATGCTTTTTATACATAAATGTTTATTAATGTTTTGATAATTTATGAGGGATTGGTTGTTACAATTGTGAGAATTCACATATTTTTTACAAGTTGATAAGGATGTCTGGTCCCATTTATTTGTAAAAGATATACTTTCACATAATTTCACATATTTATCACATAATCCTTTGATATTTGTTGTCACCATACATGGAAAATGTAAGACTCATTTTCAACCAATTTTATCTTATGTTGAAGAGGTGTTTCTTTCAGAGAGGTATCCTTGTGGACATATCAATAAATGGTGTTCCCCATGGACTGGTTTTACTGTACTAAAATAATGATGCACATCCACAATGATGATGTCACAATGTCCTATTGATACTCATACAAAATACCCTGAGGAAGTTGAAAGTGGTGTGTCCTAACAAAGGTGGACAGTTTGTGTTCTCCCAAAGTTGGATAGTTCAAGTTCTCACAAATTTGGAGAGTCCGCATTCTCACAAAGTTGGACACCCCAGGGTTGGACAGTTTGTGTTCTCCCAAAGTTGGATAGTTCAAGTTCTCACAAATTTGGAGAGTCCGCATTCTCACAAAGTTGGACACCCCAGGGTTGGACAGTTTGTGTTCTCCCAAAGTTGGACAGTTCATGTGAACATGTAGCTTATAAGTTATATGGTAGATGTATGGTGCAATGGTATCATATGTCCACATGTCAAAATGCTTAAAATATATGAATTAACATTAGACAATTGTCAGTTTTGTTTAATGCAAATGTACATCTGTAGTAACAATTTGAATGAATGCTCTTGCACTTAGCTCCAATAAATGGAGTCATGGAGCATAGTCTTGCACTTAGCTCCAATAAATTGAGTCATGGAGCATAGTCTTGCACTTAGCTCCAATAAATTGAGTCATGGAGCATAGTCTTGCACTTAGCTCCAATAAATTGAGTCATGGAGCATAGTCTTGCACTTAGCTCCAATAAATTGAGTCATGGAGCATAGTCTTGCACTTAGCTCCAATAAATTCAGTCATGGAGCATAGTCTTGCACTTAGCTCCAATAAATTGAGTCATGGAGCATAGTCTTGCACTTAGCTCCAATAAATTGAGTCATGGAGCATAGTCTTCCACTTAGCTCCAATAAATTGAGTCATGGAGCATAGTCTTGCACTTAGCTCCAATAAATTGAGTCATGGAGCATAGTCTTGCACTTAGCTCCAATAAATTCAGTCATGGAGCATAGTCTTGCACTTAGCTCCAATAAATTGAGTCATGGAGCATAGTCTTGCACTTAGCTCCAATAAATGGAGTCATGGAGCATAGTCTTCCACTTAGCTCCAATAAATTCAGTCATGGAGCATAGTCTTGCACTTAGCTCCAATAAATTGAGTCATGGAGCATAGTCTTGCACTTAGCTCCAATAAATTGAGTCATGGAGCATAGTCTTGCACTTAGCTCCAATAAATTCAGTCATGGAGCATAGTCTTGCACTTAGCTCCAATAAATTGAGTCATGGAGCATAGTCTTGCACTTAGCTCCAATAAATTGAGTCATGGAGCATAGTCTTGCACTTAGCTCCAATAAATGGAGTCATGGAGCATAGTCTTCCACTTAGCTCCAATAAATTCAGTCATGGAGCATAGTCTTGCACTTAGCTCCAATAAATGGAGTCATGGAGCATAGTCTTCCACTTAGCTCCAATAAATTCAGTCATGGAGCATAGTCTTGCACTTAGCTCCAATAAATGGAGTCATGGAGCATAGTCTTCCACTTAGCTCCAATAGATGGAGTCATGGAGCATAGTCTTGCACTAAGCTCTGAAAATCATTTCATTGGCCCATGTAACACATTTGAAGATGATAAAACAATTTATAAGACAATTTATATAAGATATATAAGGCCCAAAATTCATGAGGTAATTATGTTTTGTAAGGTATTAAAGTCAAAATGTGTCCACTCATTGTCAGGATATTGAGATGAGGCATTAGGTCATGAAAGGTATAGTGGCCCTGAAATAAGGTGTTTGTAACATTCATTTCCTTTTCGATATCATGAATTACCCTACACTTAGTGACTACTCGATGTATAATAGCATTAAAAAATAAATTTGATATTTATTTATTTATTTATTTATTTATTATTTAGACTTACACTTTTAAATCAGTGGCACACTAAAAATATTTAGGTGCGTCTACAGTCAAAATACATACATGATCATTAAAATATCTAAAATCGTTCTTATAAGTCAGGTTTAAAAATCTTTGTTAAAAACTGTTTTACCAGTCCATCTACAATATAAAATTGATCGTGCCCCCATTGACTGAGAACATCATCACCTAACATAAAATAGAGTTTATTTTCTGAGGTACAGGATATAAAATAATTAAACACATTCTCATTGCATTTGTCTAGTAACTTACAATAGAAGTCTGTTCTTTCTTTGTTAAAGAAAGAACATTCTACAAGTCTGTGTTGGATAGAGTCATCTACATTATCTTTACATAATATGCATTTTCCATCTGTCTTTCTTTGTGATTCATAATTGGAATATAGAGCAAATTTGTTACATCTTGCTAAGAATTTGAGCTTTGATCCATAGAAGTCATTGTTTTGTTTCAGGTAGTTCTCTAAATTAGTGTGTTTCTTGATTTTTGAATAAAATTTTAAGGAGCTATATTCCTTAATACTAGAGTGAAACTCATTAACATATTCATCCTTGCAAATAGACAAATAGTTGTCATACCAATCACAATCTCTTCTATAAATTACATCATCGAGACCTCGTTTACACAGTAATTCTTTAACATTAGATACATACTTCCACGAAGCTTCATTATCTTGCTCAAAGCGCTTCATGAGCGAGCAAAATATTTTTTGTGAGAGGGAAGTCTTACAAGCTTTGTACTTTAGATACATAAAATAATCAATAAGGCGTTTTTCATAAATTCCACATATAGGGCTCCAACCAAGATCTCCAATCAAAGCGGAGTGGGCAGGTTTGCATTTTAATTGAAGTACTGCTTGAGCTGCTCTATATTGGATAGACTTAAGGGTTTTATTTGATTCTTTCGTTAGGGTAGACCATATTGAGCAGCTGTGAAGTATCGCTGGTTCGAGCATTGACTTGTATATAGTGTTTCCAAATTCAATTCGATTGACATTGCAATGTTTTGTAAGTGTTGCTGAGGTATAATTATACATTTTACGTGCCTTTTCCTTCACAAAATTATTAATATGATGTGAGTCTCTTAGGTTTTTATGAAACATATAACCAAGATATTTATAATCAGTCACCTCGGTTAGGTTAAGATCGCCCAATTTCCAGATCTTTTTACGGTCAATGTGCTTTCCTATCACCATAATTTTTGATTTTTTCCTGCTGAATTTAAAGCCCCATTTAATACCAAAAGTATTTACAGTTTGGAGAAGCATTTTCAAATCGTTTTCATCTTTTCCTAAGAGAACAATGTCATCAGCGAATAGCAAGCATGGAATACGCTCATTATCAAGATTAACACCGAGATTAGTTTTCATCAAGCTGTTTTCAAGGTCTGACATCACAATTAAAAAGAGAGTTGGAGAGAGAATGCATCCTTGCTTGACACCAACATCAGATTCAAACCAGTCAGTGCAAAAATTGCCAAAAATAACTTTGTTTTGAACATTAGAGTATAGGTGTCTGAGAGTTCTCCAAAGTTTACCTTGTATGCCCTTTTCCCATAATTTTATAAAAAGCATATCTCTATCCAAGACATCAAAGGCTTTTGAGATGTCGATAAAAGCTAAATAAGTCTTTAAACGCTGTGATTTACGGATACCACATATTCCTTTCAGAGAAAAAATATGATTTTCTAAGCGATGTCCTTTTTGGAAAGCGCCTTGTAGATTGCCAAGGAGGTTATTTTCCTGAAGGTATGACATCATTTTCGATTCTATAAGGTTTGAGAAGACTTTGTAAACATTAGATGTGATCGTTATCCCTCTATAATTATCAAGCGTTTCTAAATCGCCACATTTGTGCAAGGGTTTCAATAAGCCATATTTCCATTCATCTGGAATGGTTTCATACATTTTAATAAGGGTAAAGAAATCTAATAATGGTTTGATTAAAGTATCTTTAGAATATTTAATGAATTCATTTGGTATTTGGTCTAGGGGTCAACCCAGTTGTCCGAAACCCAGTTGTCCGAAACCCAGTTTTCCGAAACCCAGTTGTCCGAAACCCAGTTCTCCGAAAATTAGAGGATCTTATTTGAAAAATACAATTTTTTTAAACGAATCTCGTTGTCGCAACCTCTGCGAATCACAACATAACATTGGAATAACGTTGACATCATTGCAAAATTAGGCTAAATATGCTAAGTCAAGACGTTAATTGTTTAATGTTTAGCCTACGAAAGTTCATATACAGGTGATATAGATGTTCAAACAAACAAAGTTAAATTATGTTATTCTCATTGTAAAATGGCGTTTACACAACATACATAGATAGGGGTCTACAATTTTTAAACCAATTTTCTTTATGGCCCATGGGCCTTTTTTGAGAGGGAACAACATTTTTCCAATGGGTGATCAGCATTCATAGCTTTCCCAAGCCAGTGGGCATTTATTTAGTAAAGTTGACATGTACATCTTTTGAAACCAAAACTTATTCTTCATTTACGTACTCTGTTTGAGAAATAGAGATTAAATTAAAAGGATGAAGTGAGTACATGGCGAAAATGAAACTTCTTGCGAATGGGAGAACATCCATTTTGATACGAGGACAGCCTGCCTTCGTTTCCAGTTGATCCCAAGTGATTAAGTTAAGAATGTTTTGTTCTTTTACGATTGATTTGATAAAATACAGAGACTAAGAAATTAAATGCGACGAAATATTTTGACAACGTAATATGTATACTGTTTTATTCTTAAAGTACTATATGCGTAAACTTATTTTATCTGTTTCAAAATTTTATTCATTCATTTTATTTTGCCTATATAAAAGAGATTGAAGAAGACAAGATAAACTGTTCCGTAATATATATTGTGTTTTGATAACCTTTTTTTAGAATCACAATGTAAAATAAATCCCCCGTTCCTGCCATTCTGGTAACGCGTGCAATGGATGCAATTCAAAGTGAGAGAGAGAGATCTATGAACATCCGAATGCGTCCATGCCATTAATTTGGCCAAATACATGGCATGAAACTGGCCTAAGCTTAGTACGTCTCCCCTTTAATTTCTCTGGTAAATTATGACTATATTTTTCGGAGTAATGGGTTTCGGACAAGTGGGTTTCGGACAACTGGGTTTCGGAGAACTGGGTTTCGGACAACTGGGGTGCACCCTTTGGTCTACACCCGTTGCTTTACCATTGCTAAGATTGGAGATGACACCTTGAATATCTGCATACTCAATTGAAATATCTGATATTGCATTACTTGATATGTCATTATTTGCTTCTAGAGCTTTGATTTTTGCAGCCAGATCTTTATTCTGGGTTTGGGGATTTCTACTTTTAGATCCCAATGAACTCCAATACTCTTTAAGTTTAACTTGGACAATCTTAGGGTCAGTAATGATCAAATCAGGATTATCAGGGTCTTTAATTTGGATGGGGAAATTACTTTTAGCATTAAATCTTTTGAGGGTTTTCCAGAAGCTTTTTGATGTTCCAGACTTACTTTTAGCATTTTGGGTAATGATTTTGATGTGATTTTGAATATATTTTTCTTGAATTTTTTTGGAAACCTGCCTTTTAAGATCAATATATCTATCCCAAAGTTCCTGTAAAACATTCGGATCAGCTGATTTTGATTTTGACCAGTAACGGAAAAAGCGACACGCCTCTTTCCTATTTTTGATAAGTTGTTTAATATCATTGTCCCAAAAACTACGACAATCATTAGAAATAATCTTAATTCCAACTGATGCTTTTCCTGCCTTGATTATTCTAGTTTTTATTGAATCCCACATACTTTCAACATCAACAAATGAACTCTTATCCCAGTCAAGGAATTCAGACTCAATAGTTCTCAAAAAACATCTCCAATCAGTTGTGTCATTGATATTCCATTTACTATAGGTGGGACGTTCAAAATTTGGGGGGTTATCCTGTTTCGATCTTTGTGGATCATGGGAGATATAAATACATAGTACATTATGGTCGCTGCCAATAGAATACTTGCCATCTTCATCTACCAACATATGTTCAAACAAGGGTAAGAATTTAGAATTAGCAATGGCATAATCGATAGTTGAACTGTGTTCATTGCGTGACCAAGTTATACTACCTTCACATTTATCAGATAGGTTTAAGATATGTGATTGTGAACTTTTACAGAAATCCTCTAATAGGTCGCCATTAGGACTTTTAGTACCATCTTTTCTGAATGATTTTATTTTCCCATTGAAATCACCCATGATTATGTATTTATCGTTCGGCTTTAGAGAGGACGTGTTTGAGAGAAGTTCATCAAACAGGTCTTCAGTGAGTACTGGCTCTTTGCCGTCACATGGAAAATAGACAACACATATATAAAACACAAGTGAACATTTTTTAACCTTCAACCAGTACCTTTCAAATTCATCATCTTTCGAATTAAAAACATTATCATCTATGGTAGCAATATCGTTTTTTACAAATAAACCTATACCACCACCTTGTTTACCCTTCCTGTTTTTACCATTCCATGAATATTCAGAGTTTATTATTGATAATGGTTGCACTCAATATTAGATTTTAGAGTGTCTATTGAGGCCTTCATATCAGATACTATTGAAACTAATACATCAAATTGGGAATTGGGATTGTCCATATTGGCGCTAGGCATTTTTTTCTTAGCAACCTTACGTTTAGGCTTTGATTTTGCAAGAGGAAGTTGGGCAGATTTCAAGCGTGATCTGAGGGAGCGTGTACTGCTAGGGGTGCAACGAGGCAGTTCAGATCGTGGGCGAAGTCGAGTCTTTATACGTGTAACACTACTGTTCGAAGAGTCTACTGTGTTATTTGGGGAGACCATGCTAAGATCTTGAGAGAGCCCCTTTGGTGTTGTTGGTAAACATTGATCAGCTGATTGTTCGTTGCCTGGAGAAGGGGCCAATAACAAGTTCAAGTCACACGTATCAGGCATGCTACAAGGTGTTAACGAGCTTTCCATGCTCATAATAAGATCAGTGTTCTGGAGACTGGGCTTAATAAGCCTCCTTGGTTGTATCCAAGTTGTAAGTCAGCCAATTTATAAAGAGGTCCCTCACTGCTTATAAAGAAACTAAAAAATCTCCACAACTTTTGTGAAACTTTATCTGCTAAAATATCTAAATCCAAAATAAATTGCAGCATGAAATATATGTCATTTTGATCCCTGGTTGTTCTCAAATGTAATGATAACAATTAATCCAAGATTGCACTGCAACTTCTGCATAATCACAATATTCCGGGAGAGACTTTATATGTGTGTTCTCTGTTCAACTCACTATAATATATATTGGCAAAATGAATAACTGGAGGATATCGCCATGATATACTCCGGAAAACAAATATACAGAGGATATTATGACGATATACTCCGGCCGGTTGTCGATTTAATATATTTTTATACATTTTGTACACTAAGTGTAGGATAATAAGAACATTCTATGATTTTTCAGAATATCATGTTAATCTACTCTGTGATATTGACCTCATTGGCTTCACTCTCTCATCCAGATATCAGTATCACCTTGTATATAAAAATTTTATTGCTCAAAATCATAGGATAATCCTATAATAAGTGACTTCTCCAAGTTAAAAATATGTCATCATTTGAAGTAAAGGATATTTACAGTCCAGGGATTATATATACTAAAAAATTCAAACATGTACATTACAACTGCCATCACAAAAATTAGAGACTATAACAATATGTCACCACATTTGAGTCTGACATAAAAATGACCAATTATGAAAAAAGTTAATTGCTCAACAAAGGGTAGAACACTTGAGTGATTCACTCCCTTGAGGGGCTTCTTTTGAGTAATAATATCCAATATATATTCAATAAATGCAGTGACTCAGAAAAAACATTTTCACAACAAACCAAATTAATCAAACCCATTATAATCACAAGACTGACAGGCTGTTCATTTTCATATTTTGTTCAATATATTTTTTCATATTTTGTTACATTACATATTCAAATTCTTCATTCAGACCTTCAAGTCAATTATATAACATTACATGCATTTCATAGAGGCTAAACATAAAATGTATACAGCTGTTGAAGATGTTGTTGATTCTCCTTCCACAGCTGCATAGAGAACACAAATTGAATTCATTACAGCTGTTACAATTTGTAAATAACACAATTGGCTACATGTATTTATGTATTTGATATGTTGCATGCTCAATCTCATAAACGAAGTATATAATTCAAATGGTACCTTTAGTACCTTTTGTCCTTAGCCTTGTAAAACAAATAGGCCTAGTACCTTTTGTATTTTACTTTGATAAACAAATAGTAATATATGTCCTAAACCTTCAAAAAGTCCTTATCCTTGTAACAAATGGTATCTTATATCTTTTGAAAATCAAAGAGAACCATTTGTCATTAACCTTGTAATCCAGGCTTGCAAAATGTAATGTTTTACAAGAACACAAATGTGTACAAAATGTCCCCACCAAGTGGTGATCCCGTGAAATGGTTATCCTGAAAATGAGTAGACAAGACTTTACCAACACAATTTGAGGACGGAAAATCCAAAGTGGCCACCTTAAAATTTACCCAAAATGCCAAAAACTTAGTCAGTTCTAGATTTTCATACTAAGAACCACCCCTGAAAATTTGAAATTGATCCGTCACACAGTTAACCAGAAAACATGTAAACAAGACTTTACAGACAAGATTTCAGGATGGAAAATCCAAAATGGCTGCCTTGACATTTACCCAGAATGTCAAAAAACTAATCTGTTTGTAGATTTTCATACTAAGAATCATCCCTGAAAATATGAAATTGATCTACCAAACGGTTCACCTGAAAACGGGTAGACAAGACTTTACAGACAAGATTTTAGGACAGAAAATCCAAAATGGCTGCCTTAACATTTACGCAGAATGCAAAAAAAGTAATCAGATGTAGATTTTCATACAAAGAATCATCCCTGAAAATTTGAAATTGATCTATCAAACCGTTCTCCTAAAAACGCGTAGACAAGACTTTACAGGCAAGATTTTAAGACGGAAAATCCAAAATGGCTGCCTTGACATTTACCCAGAATGCAAAAAAACTAATCAGTTTTAGATTTTCATACTAAGAATCATTCCTGAAAATTTGAAATTGATCTACGAAACGGTTCACCTGAAAACGAGTAGACAAGACTTTACAGACAAGATTTTAGGACGGAAAATCCAAAATGGCTGCCTTGACATTTACCCAGAATGCCAAAAAACTAATGAGATCTAGATTTTTATACTAAGAAGCATCCCTGAAAATTTGAAATTGATCCACCAAACGGTTCACCTGAAAACGCGCAGACAAGACTTCACAGACAAGATTTTAGGACCGAAAAATCCAAAATGGCCGACAATAAAAAAGTCCTTATGAGTTTTTGCTGATTTCTTTTTACAAAATTATCACATATAACTACTGTTAACAATAAAGTAGGCTTTTACAGCAAAGTACATCTGAAATTATTTATAAAGCTACTAAATAGTTAAAGTATGAAAACTCAAAAACACCATTCAATATGATACAAAGTATTATCGCGCGCTAACTTTTCTTAAGACATTCAAAATGGCTGACATGACTGAGCTAGCAGGTCCAAAACCTAATCAGATCTAGAATGAAGTGAGTTGAACAAGATGTTAAAGTTTTAAAAGCAACTGTGAAGCAGTTTTTCTTAAAGTTTGCAGACAAGGATTTTAGCATTTGACTTCAAAATGGCCGACAGGAAGTAGGTATCGAGTTAATTTTTTTTCATCCACATCTGTATGCACTCATAAGTTATCCCTGAAAATTTGAAGGTGATATCTGTAGCGGTTTTGGAGAAAACTGCCGGACGTACGGACAGACAGACGGACAGACGGACAGACAGACGGACGGACGCGCCTAGGCCGACAATATGGCCCCACACTATGTGGTGGGGACATAATAAAACAAAAATATGAGGGCCCCTTGGAGTAATAATAATTTAGATCCTGTCATTGACCGTTGTCAGAGAACTCCCGAAGGACCCCCACTAGACCGAGATAGACACATAGACATCATTAACAATTAAACATTTACAGATCTATATCCCAGCGCAGCACCTCAAAATGCTTGTATAAAAGTAGACATAGTTCATTTGGATGTGAAAAGTGAAACACTTCTAACTTTTAACAACAAGAGTAAAATAATAAGTAACTATGGCAACCTTAATAAACCCTGATGAGAATCTCTCTTAAACTAAGGAGGAAGTGCAATTACTAGAATGGCCAAATCTGACCCATTTACTACTATTCACTGACATCTTGCATCAGACTTTATGACACCACACAATGTTTGGTTTTATTTTAATAATAACCCGAGGTCAGTTTTTGAAATTGTCGTAACTTATAATTTAAATCATTGGTTATCTAATTGCTTCTAAATGAAGCATAAATTACTGAAAAATGTGAACATAGAAGTGAATGTCTTAAGGCAAAATGATTGATTGTAAAATGTAGTTGAGGAAAATGCAATGACAGTATTACTCTTGTGGAATCAGTGTGACTACAAAGTACCATATCCAGTCTATGGTCTGTCAAATAACATTGATGCAAACTTGACTCTTCACCATTTCAAAAACTTCAATTTGCCATCGTTACAACTATGTACAAGAGCGATAATACTGCAGTACCCGTGGAATACCTGTGGAATACATTTCACAATATTTCAACACTTGGTTATATTCAACATTCGGGTGTGTCATGTTCGACTGATCATAATAGCTAAAATCATCAAACACTGGCCGTCAAAATAATGATCGACTTCATAGTTAACTCTGGACTATATCTCTCAGTTCTCTGGATTTGCACCCACCATTTTTCAATTACATGTTTTTAAAGAGTATATACTTTTCACCAGACTCCAGAAGTGTTGCCCATTTGATGAAATGTCCTATCATTAAACTGTTAAAGGTTAGCAAGCTGTTACATTGAATTAAATATTTCCATTAAACATATTTAAATAAAAACTAGATATGTAATGTACAATACTGTAATTGTAATGTTAAATAATACTAAATAAAACCATTGAAAAACTATTTAATAATCCAACATCATGATGTAATTCAAAGGAGTGTTTACCCTTTGCATTCATTTGAGTTCGCTTCTTAAAAGAGAGCTTCGTTGGTAGTTTATAACTAGACTATGATCTCAGGGTAAGGGGTGTTATTTCAAATGTGGAAAAGTTTGCATTTTAACAATTTGAATACATGACATGAACTTACACAAGATGTTCTGTAAATATTTTAAGTAAACAAAAGAAAATATTTGACACACAAATATGAATCATTGAAATGGTTTCCATGGTTACGGTATTGTTACATTTTGTGGTTACACACACACAAACACAGATCTATGTAGAAAAATATTTGCGATTTTTCAAATTGGTGGGAAAGCTCTGTCTGTACAGTATTCACATGAGTCAGGTTTGCAAAGTGGCGGAGATTTGATCGTGCAGTTCATACATTTCTGTTAGTTTATTGCCAAGTTGTTCCTGGAGGCCTAATAGATCCTGACGTTCTTTGGATTGGTCCGAGCGTAATATTTGAAGTTCATGTTCATAGTTCGAGACCTGAGACTTGAGAGATTCGTTTTGCCCCTGTAATTGCTGAAATATAAAATTGGAATATAATATATTAAATTCAACTGCATATGCACACACATTCAATGATTTATGTTTATCACACTGAGCTGCTGCTACAATTTTGTTTACCCCTTGGGCCTTGGATACTAAAGCATATTTCATATTTGCCAGTTTTTGCCATTTGCTACATTGATATACAATATGTCAGGGTCTCCAACATAGAATCTCCATGACAATTACTCCAAATATAAGATCTCCATGACAATTACTCAAAACATAAGATCTCCATGACAATTACTCAAAACATAAAATCTCCATGACAATTACCCCAATCATAAGATCTCCATCATAGGGTCTCCATGACAATTACTCAAAACATAACATCTCCATAACAATAACACCAAACATATGATCTCCATGACAATTACTCCAAATATTGTAGAGTTACAAATTTGGTAATTAATTGTTCCTTCTCAGATGTGAGAGGATCTTACAACATAGACATTTTTTAGATTTGTAACTTTACAAACTTTGAAAACAGAAACAAGGACCAGATCTAGCAATTTAAAAAATATGTTAATGATAAAATATACACATACTCAACAATAAGTACATGTAGTGTTTGAAAATTCAAAAAATGCTAGTACTAAAATATGATGATAAAGTGACTGCTGTAAACATACTTCAAAAAACTAATTTTCAAAAATTCAAAATATACTACTGACCTGTATAGTGTCCTTGAGGGTTGTTATCTCATTCTCAAGAATTCCTAGTTTACCAACTTTCTCCTTCAACTCCTGAATCTCCTAAAAGTGAAGAATTTCAAATTTAGGTCATATTGACAAACCTAGGATCATCAATTCTTGAACTTCCATATTGATTGTTTAAAATATCATCCCTGATTTTGTGGTGAATTCAGAGCTTGTATTATGTCTACCAAAATCATTCAATAAAAACGATTTGAATTAATGATCACTTTCATAAAAGGTGTTGTCCCAAAGACACCAATCTCCTGACTGTTAGTAAAGCACTTGGGTAAACATTTGTAGACATTAGGAAGGTGAAGCTACATGTTTTAAAAGCAGTGTACATCACAAGTGAAGCATTACAACCCCAGGGATTACTGCCATCCCTTCCATGGACCTAATTACATATATTTTCCTTATACCTTTATACTCAATTGATCAAGAGAATACTACGAATAGGAGGACTAATCCTCAGAGGACCATTCTTCAAGTTCAAATACAAGTTCTCTTAAAACATGTAGCGTAACCTCCACATTATAAATTAGTCAAATGTGCACATTTAGGAACCTAGATGTGGTTATTCATAATAACAAATGCTGCATTCCAGCAATGAATTAGATCTATCATTCATTACTTACCCCCCTATCACACCAAACTAGTTCTTACCCGTTCTTGCCAGTCCTACGAAAACGTCCTAAAACGGGCTCAATCTGGCTGTGTTCGGGAAATATGTCTGAAATAATTAGCTTCTTCGTTCTTAAACAGTCTTCAATACGTCCATCTCATTCGCAGTTCGTTCAGGTCGCACCACGTCGGTGTGCAACGTAGTAGAACGCGTCCCTTAGTCTAGAAGGTCAACATGACCTGATTACAGAACGGTATGGTCGCCATCGAACTTTGAATCGATTCAAAATTCTAATATCACATTCCCGTCTGAGAACGTTCATAAAGTTCGTAAATAGACGTTAGAAAGTTGCAGCTACGTTCATTCAGTTCGCACACAGTTTAAGACCAGTTTTGAAGAACGCAGTGGCAACTTGTTTGGTGTGATAGCTATATTTTTGCTAACTCGTTCATCAGCAGTGTTAAATACGTTCTTAATCAGTTTAAACCCGTTTGCAATTAGTTCTACATCGTTCTCAACACGTCCTCGGACAGTTCAACTCGTTGTTAAAACGTCCCTAGTAGGACGGTTCCGATCGTTGTACGTCCAGCTCGTCGTTGGTACGTTGTCACTCGTTCTAATTGTAGAACGTGACGACCACGAAAACATTTTGAGCATTGTCTAAGTTCTAGAGGACCTACCCGTTCGAGTACGTTCGATGAAGTTTGTAAATAGATCCCAAACGGTTCTTAGTAGGTCCAGTCCGTTCGTACACAGTTGAAGCCCGTTTTCGAGAACGTAGTGAGAACTAGTTTGGTGTGATAGTAGGGTAAGCAAACCTTTTAGATAACAGTTCTGAACATTAAGCTTCTAGTTAAAAATTAAACAAGTATTGAATGCTTCTTTCATTAAATTCTACATATAAACAAAATCTATGGTATGGTGAAGTATTTAAAAGGGGAGACCAAATGACACCCTATCTGTGTGTGTGAGGTTGCAACCAGTCTATTTACCCATGATGAGAACATAAAAAGCTTCTGTTGTGTTATTTCCTAGGAAACAATAAATTTGGAGGCAGAGATCTGATGCACGAATACAAGAATACAATAGATTGACAATTTTTAAAATATGAAGATTGAAGATGCCCATGATCTTGAGGTTATAAATTAAAATGATGTCACTTTGAGGTGAAACATTGCTTCAAAGTGTATATCACTGTCCAATTAATTGGCTGGTAATTATACATGTTATATAAAATATATTGGGTAGCTTGGACAAAACTTCAATGAAGCTATAGAGTTAACTGTTAACTGGATACAACATTGCTATGCTCAAAAACTATATAAGCCAAAATGTTCACTATTTTGCTTCAATATTTGACAGTTTAGCAAACATGAGTGTTTGAAAAGTTTGAGTCTTTTTGTGTCTTATGTTTTTTAGGATTGATAGTTGAGGTTATCATGAGACATCCTGTAGGCCTACATCAAAGTTAAATAACAACTGACGTTCGCTTTCATAAATTCAGTGAACATAATGTGAAGAGTGCAAATTAGAAATAGAAAGTACATAAACACAGAGCAGAAATTGACAATAACTTAGACATCCCTCTTTTGTGTTTACTATACCTTAACCATGAACAATTTGAATAATGTAAATAAACAAATTAAACACAGGATAAATAAAATATAATAATGAGAGTCTAAAGTATTAAAATAACATGAATGTGAAAACTGGGATCATTGTACCTACCATATGTATGCCCTATGGAAGAAAATGAGAAACAGAATAAATCAGTAATCTACATTCCTAGGAAGGACCTCACAGACCAATCATTTTTGTAGTTCTGATTTTTTTTGCCTTCATTGAATAATTTAAAATATATACATATACATCGAGATGTTCCGATTTTCTGATTTAAAACCACTCTGATGTTTATTCAACAAAATATTTGTCAGAAGTTGTTGCAAATGAAAGTATCAAATGAATGACAATGACAGTACCTCTTCTTTTTTCTTATTGTCTAAATCTAGGTTTCCAAGTCGAGATGACAGATCCCCAACTTGTCGTTGTAATCCCTCCGTCTTTTCACCACTTGCAGTTCCCCCTTTCTCCATCTCTAGAATCTGAACAAAATATTTTCACAATAAATTGACATGACACATAAAAATGTTTGGCTATTTTTCATGGCAGACTGAGATTGTCACAATTTTTTTAGCTGGATCAAAGCATAGCACATGTACAGTTCTTGTACATTGTAAAATTTCTGCACACAATAAACAAAATCAAAAATACAATTCCAAAAAATTGTCAAGATCAGACAAGACACACAGTGGTCGATATTGCACTTTGACGAGCAAAATGGCTGCCACGTAATTTACCCAGCACGCCCAAAAAGTAAACCTAGTCAGATCTTGGCAAAAATCAATTCAATTTTCTTTGTAGCCACAGACCTACCTTTTGTTTCAGCCTCGTGCTCTCTTCCTTGTATGCAGCTAATTGTTTTTTCCACTCCTCCACGTTGGATGTACTCTCTTGTAGAGCAGTTGTTAGACGTGCATTGTTATTCTTCAAGGTTTGCAGCTCTACATCCCATTTCTTGGCATTTGCTGAGCTGAAATAAATGTAAAGACCTTATAATCGCAATAACAATTATAGTAAAACCTAACATCTGAACACCTTTTGACTCTGAACACCTCTCAATATGAACGCTTTCTTTTGGTTCCATTTTTTATTTACCATAAACTTACAAATTAAAAACCTTGACATGAAAACACCTCCCAATCTGAACACTTTTGGCCAGTTCCAGTGACATTCGGATTTGAGAGAACACTTTATTATTTCATTAATTTTGCATCATGTTGAATGAACTATTAGGTCAACTGAATGCTATTAATGGAATCATTAAGTGGCCACAAGAAACAGGCCTGTAGCCAGGGGGGTTCGGTTGGTTCGAGTGAACCCCCTCTGGCCAAAAATTCTTTCAAAATGATGCAGTTTTTCACCATTCTGAACACTTTTTAAGTGATTTTGGCCATTTTTTGGACGAAAATTGTCAAAAGTGAACCCCCTGGAATTTTTCAAAAAGTGAACCCCCCTTGGCAAATCCTGGCTACGGGCCTGAGTAAAATTCATGAACTGAAGCATAAGCAAATTAACATGAAAGCAAAACTAATATTTTAGAGTTAACATTTACCTTTGAGCAAGGGCAATCTTGAGTCTGTCATTCTCATACTTGAGTTGAGCCTCTGACTGGCTGGACATTACACTTTGGCCGGAATTTTGTCTTTCTAGAGGACCAGCCTCATTCTGAAAACACAAAAACAGTATAAAAAGTACTTCATGAGATAGGTACACTGTCCGCTCAAGTTAACAAAATCAATGTAGGTCAGCTACACATCAAATTCTAAAAAGAACACCACATTTTTGCATTTCAGATTCATAAACATACAAACCAGCAACATACGAGGAGCTTTATTTTCACATTTTCACATTTTAAGTCGAATTTCAACATACATACCAGTATTGGTGTTCCAGGGGCTTTAGTTGGGGTGCCAGGGTTGGGTGTCCCTGGGTTGGGGGTGCCTGGTGTGGGAGTGCTTGGTCCATTGACCCTGGGGCTGTCTGACCCATTCACCTGCTGACCCCCTCCATTTTTCACGACCTGTTTACTCAGCTCTTTGATCTCGTTAAACTTCTCAATAAACTGAAATCGAACAACATATGCATTTTAGTATATTTTTCATTTGTTTACAATCAATAGTTTCGTTTCTTTTGCAACGGCCGTTCCAAATGGGAATGCAAACTAAGCAATTCATTTCAATAAATTTCTTATCCCTCTGGTGCAAATTCATTCTATTTTGACTAATGCAATCTTATGCATGCATCTCTCACAAAAATGTGGGTAGTTTGGGTATAAAATAGGTCATTCTCTCTGAATATGTGTCATGAAATCCTACAAATTTTGAAAATTTAACCTGAAATGAACTCAAATAAATAACACCGAAATCACGAGACTAAATCAATATTTTTGAATGGCAGTCTATGTTATCAAACTGCTTTATGTTTATATTACTATTTTCATGCCCAAAAAGTTTGTTTAATATCGAAAGTAAATACAATACAAACAGATCAGTCAGAGTTCTTTTTTAAGTCTGAAACTAAACAAGAGATACCTAGCTCTGTAATACGATCAGTATATATACTTAGGTGTTTTAAAATCGAGCCGCATTTAGTATATACTGCCCCAGAAACAAGCTACAGTTAATAGATTCGAAATGGATTCCGGTGAAAAGGTGAAGCGGTTTTTAAGCTTTCTGATAGGATCCGTGTTGATGGACTTTTTAATTGGTGGAATTGACTTATATTGTATAACATTGATTGGGCAGAGTAAAGACTTGATGGTCCTTGGTGCTCACGATGATGGCTACCCACGATACGCAATTCTGTCTCAATACGTTGTTGGAATAAATGTGATTGCAATTAGGGGTAAGATTGGGGGTGCTGCCATCTATATGGTCAAAATCAGGAAGTTTGATATGCTTCCATTGCTGGTTATGAACACATTGATGATTCTATTTCATGACGTAGGAATCGGACTATTTTACTGGGACTATATTTCCATAATCGGTAATGGGCCATCTATGCACACTTCACATATGTGCATCCTTCCACGCAGCGTAGAACTCATGTTCAACACGCTCAAGTTAGGATACCTATTCTGGTCGCTTCGTTCTTATTCAGACTATGATCCTGTCAACCAGAATCCTGCCATCCTTAATGTGGTTCCAGATACGAGTCAGTGCCCAGACACCACATTGCCACAATGTGATACAATGAATGAGGTTGACACAATGCCAAATCCAGATAAATCAATGGTCAAATCACTCACTCCAATGGGTAAAACTGATCCAAAACAAAGCAAAATGGCTCCATGTAAAACAAAACCTAATCATTGGTCATTGTTTGCAGTTAGCGTCCTAGGTTACATTGGCACAATCGTTATTCTCGCATTGATAGCCCCAACACCTAAAGCTCTGACATATAAAGAAGAATATCCCCCAAACTTCAACAAAGTCGAAGTATATATGGCAAGACCTGGGATCCTGGAGGATAAACTCAATGATGCAACAATTGGAAAATATGACACATACACATATGTTGTCCCTGCAGAGAGTGTCATGAAAGTGACAAACCTAAGTGACATCATGAAGAGTAAAACAAAGGGGAAAATCACTAAGAAATACTATGACGATGATGATGGCACGGTAACATATAAAACATTCACCACAAAATGTCTGAACACTCACCATGGTTATCATAACACAACAAAGCAACTAGGAGGAAAATGGTGCTCGAAGTGCAAATCTGATTTGGAGTTCATGTTTCGATTCTATGATCCAGTACATGACATGGCTCCCCATGGTAGGTTGGATTATAACATGCGCACCTTCATAAATGGATCCAATAACATGGAATACCTGAACCTAAGGAAGTTTGGATATGATCTCTATCTGTTCATACCATCTCCTGCAGGAAAAGAGGTATCTCCCCCAGGAGACATCTTGCTCAATAATCCATGGTCAGGGAGATTTCTGAAGAGACTGAACTATAAAATGTTTAAGAAATGTGGAATATCTTCGGCAGCCTCCCTTCAAAAATGGCCTTTCGTGTATATCTTCATATATATCATGTTTTTCAGATAGCAATTTTACCATGGACAACAAATGATCACAACTATGATGCTATGAGTCATGTGTCTCTGAATTGTAAAGGCAATTGATTTTGTTTTGCTTCTTTTATCATGTTTCCTTTTTCATTAACAGAAAGAATTTCAAAAATGTTTGAGTTTTATCCATAAATAAAAGTGAATTTTCACTGAAATAGATTGTAACATGGAGGCCATCGAGACAACATTTTTTAATCAATGTCTTAACTTGAATCATAAATGTGTCTTAAATATACTCCAGTAAAAATTTATTCAGATTCCAAAAGTTACAATAGGGTTGCATCATGTGGGACCCTGGCTTTAAAGTAAGCGTTTTGCTACATGTAAACCCATTTCAATATACAAAGATGCTTGAACATTGCAGGTATTTTAGCTAAACTAATATTTTACATACCTTTAACAGATCTGCTTCAGTAGTAAATCCCAGTCCATAAACTGTGTTAGCCCTGGGATCTGACCATTGCCCAAACTTCTGAGATGTCTTGGTAAACGTCATGTTTGGAGTTATTGTACTATTTATCACAGCCTAAAAACAAACAACATTCAATGAAAATTCAGTAAATATACAGTAAAACGTGTATAATTCAGTAAATGTACAGTAAAATGTGTATAATTCAGTAAATATACAGTAAAACGTGTATAATTCAGTAAATATACAGTAAAACGTGTATAATTCAGTAAATGTACAGTAAAACGTGTATAATTCAGTAAATGTACAGTAAAACGTGTATAATTCAGTAAATGTACAGTAAAACGTGTATAATTCAGTAAATGTACAGTAAAACGTGTATAATTCAGTAAATGTACAGTAAAACGTGTATAAATCAGTAAATGTACAGTAAAACGTGTATAATTCAGTAAATGTACAGTAAAATGTGTATAATTCAGTAAATATACAGTAAAACTTGTATAATTCAGTAAATGTACAGTAAAACGTGTATAATTCAGTAAATGTACAGTAAAACGTGTATAATTCAGTAAATGTACAGTAAAACGTGTATAATTCAGTAAATGTACAGTAAAACGTGTATAATTCAGTAAATGTACAGTAAAACGTGTATAATTCAGTAAATATACAGTAAAACGTGTATAATTCAGTAAATGTACAGTAAAACGTGTATAATTCAGTAAATGTACAGTAAAACGTGTATAATTCAGTAAATGTACAGTAAAACGTGTATAATTCAGTAAATGTACAGTAAAACGTGTATAATTCAGTAAATGAACAGTAAAACGTGTATAATTCAGTAAATGTACAGTAAAACGTGTATAAATCAGTAAATGTACAGTAAAACGTGTATAATTCAGTAAATGTACAGTAAAATGTGTATAATTCAGTAAATATACAGTAAAACTTGTATAATTCAGTAAATGTACAGTAAAACGTGTATAATTCAGTAAATGTACAGTAAAACGTGTATAATTCAGTAAATGTACAGTAAAACGTGTATAAATCAGTAAATATACAGTAAAACGTGTATAATTTGAACAACACTTGGAGCAACCAAAAGTGTTCGGATGAGTAAAGTTCACATTTCAAGATTTCTTAGTAAATTAAAGATTTCAATAGTAGGTCAAAGAAAAGTGTGAGATGTGTTTGAATTAGAGAGGAGTTCTGAGATATACAGGTTTTACTGTACATGTATATGTAATTGTAATAATTACTGTACAGTAAAAGCTGTCTAATCTAAACGCCATATGGACTGGCTAAAAGCATTCAGATGAGGAGGTGTTCACATTTCAAGGTTTTTCCTTTGTGTTGAATGGCGCTTACATTATATATATTTGAGACCATTCAAGATTTTTTCCCAAAGTTTTGATATCATGACAATATTTGAGCAATTTTGGATGAAACGTCAGAAATTTTATGAAAAATGTTCAGATTAGACAGGTGAATTTTTCACATATGACTGTTCACTGTTCAAATTGGGAGGTGTTCATATTTCAAGTCTTTTTAAACATGGGAGTCAATGGGAGGAAAAAGCGGGACCAAAAAAGTGTTCAGATTGGGAGGTGTTCGGATGAGCCAGGTATTCAGATATACAGGTTCTACTATACATGTATATGTAATTGCAAAAGTCCATTGAATGATATTCTTTATGTATTACAAGTAAAAGTAGTCGCAAATGACAGTCAATAAGACATCCCAAACATGGGACTGACTAAAAGAGTTTTTGACATGAGTTTCACATACATATGTTTCAATGTAATTGTAATAAATATATATTATATATTTTGCTAAAATATACACCATCTGCTTTGAAACAATCTGTGAATGTTTATACATTATGTAGAATTGTTATCTTGAATCACAATGCTATCCCATACTTTATCATATTATCATGTGATCCATTTTTGAAGCTGTCCTAACTCAACATTTTGTCAGAAGTCCTTGTTCATAGACGAGTAGGAATTCAGATATAAATGGGAGTTTAATATTTTTTTTGACCCCCACCGAAATTTTGGTATCATTGGAAAGCCCCAATACCATACTTTTGGAATTCAAGGAAAAATAAAATTTTCACTCGGGCCGTTGCTATGGAAACGGGCGTTATAAATAACAACCATTTTTAACAAGCATTATTAATGAAAAACATGTATTTGCATGTATCTTTTTTATTAATCATCAGATAATTATGATATGGGTATCAAATGAAAGCTTATGATGCCACCTTTACAATGAGGTATGAAGTATGTAAACTAGCTCGTTAACATAGCAATTGTGACGTCATAACTGACAATTTTCAAAAGATTTTAATGTAAAAATTGGTTATGTACCTATATAAAGGTCCCATTATTTAAAATCATGATGTATTTTTCCCACTTTTCATATCAATTTGAAAGAGTATGATAGCAGCTTTAAAATGATGTATGCAATGTGCCATTTCGGTCCAATAGATTTTTTATGAGACCAAATGATGTAACATGCACAAACAAAAATTGTTTTGAATTTAATCCTTTTTGAAAGAAATATCAACAAAAAAGAAGGTTCGAGGTTTGTTTTATCGGGAGGTATCATTTTCATTTTTCGTCAGATGATGAAATGTTTGGTATCAGATAAAAGGTAATGCTTTTACCTATTTGATAAAGTATAATTCATACAAAATAGCCCACACGCGTTTTAATTATGACGTCATAACTGACATACATGTAATTGCCACAAAAAGTCAGAGTAATCACATCCATGTGTTCAGTTAAATAGAATTATCATTTTCTGTCGGATCTTAATGTTTATTTAAAGTACCACATTTCTTTTTGTAAACATATTTAAAAAATATCTAGCAGATAACTGCATGTATATTCATTGTGAATTGTAATTTAATAATACATGTAGCTTTTAGTCATTATTCGTGCATTTAGCTCTTTAATAATCAAGTTCAAACATTGACCCTAAAACTGACAGAAGGTTTTTCCAAAATAACTTTTGGCAAGAAACAATATCATACCATTTTCAATAGCCATAGATAAAAGACATCAGTAATTATTTACAAGGAGGGGTTTGATATGGGGAATATCGCAAGGATGATATCTCTTCCGAGGTCAAGAGTAACATATACCACAGAAATCACCTGATGGATGTAAAAACAATAAACAATTTTGGAAATATTGAGAATATATGCATAACATGTATATAACTGTTATAACGTGAAAAATGATGACTAGAAATAACACTTCAAGTCCTTTTATAAATCAATTGGTAACTGTTATCACTTCTCCTTTCCCTTTGAGAGTACATACTCAACAATGAATTGGATTTGGATTACGATTTTTCCCGGGGACAATACAATTTTTTCATGTGATAAGATTCAATACGATTTTTATTCCTTCATATTTCCCTTGGAAAATAGTAGTAAATTGGAATAAAATCCCGAAACGAAAAAAACAAAATAGATCTATTAATACGGGATTTTATTCCAAATTTAACTACTGATTTTCCAGGGAAATATGAAGGAATAAAAATTGTATTGAATCGTATTACATGAAAAAATCATATTGTCCCCGGGAAAAATCGTATTGGAGCGTATAGCATGAAAAAACTTATTTTCCCCGAGAAAATCGTATTGGAACTTATTAACCTATTTTTGGTTTCCCGGTTATTTTTAAGCTAACATGTTTATCATGGATATCAGTTATTTCTGGTCAGGATTGAATATGTGTTTTATTCCTCGGAAAATATGATATTGCGCTCCCTTGGTCAATATCATATTGTCCCTCGGAATAAAACCCATATTCAATCCCTCCCAGTAAATAACATATATTTGGCTGACAGGATTCAATACGGGATCTGAAAGGGGATTTTGGCTGATCTGATACAGGATTTTTTGAATATCAATTCTATTCCTGTTTATTTCCCAGGGAAAACATGTTATAATGGAATAAATAGAGGTTATTCAATGGAAGGGATGGAATATAAATTCTATTCCGAGGGAAAATATGATATTGACCAAGGAAAATATAATATTGACCGAGGGCGATAGCCTGAGTGTCAATATGATATTTTCCAAGGCCCTTATCATATTTTCTCAAGGAAAAAATTCATATTCCATCACAACCATCAATAACCTATTTATTCTATAATAACTTTATAAAATTAAACTGAAGAGAAATTACCGGGAATAGTTCTGATACGAAATCTGAGACGCAATTTTTGCTTATACAGGATTTTTGGTGATACGGGATCTGATACAGGATTTTTTGATTATCAATTCTATTCCCCGTTATTTTCCGGGGGAAAACATGTTATTATGGAATAATGCAAATAATACCATACTTTTTTAATGGATCTCTTGGTATTTTGTAAGGATATATCATATTTTTATCCACTCATAGATATAGATATTTGATATCAGATTAGTGAATTAAGAATCATCTCTTATAGATTAGGATATCCTCTGTGTATCCGATGGTTTATTTCCCGTTCGCAAGACACATCAAGGGTCACAGCAGCCCCAACATGTCAACAGCCCCCATAAAATGCTAAATACCTGTATTTATTGATGGTTTAACCCTGACTGATTCTTTAATTGAAGTGAACTTCTCCAAAGGCCTTGAAACTCCAAATACCTAATACCTAGATATTAACCTTTGACAGTGAGATGACCTTGACCCACAAACATTGACTTTGACCTTAGGTCACCTAAGTATAAGTCGCCAGGGGTAACATTATCCTTAAGTGTCTTAAAACATCAAATACTTAGATATCGATCTTTGGCCTTAAGATAGTTCACCGTATCATGGGTCGCCAAGGGTCACAGCAGCCCCCAGGGTCTTAACTCAAAATAAATATCAGCCATTGACCCTAGAATGACCTTGACCTCAGGTCACCCAATCAATGATAACCAAGAGCCACAGCTGCCAAGGTCCTTATAATATCAAATACTTAGATATTGACCTTTGACCTTGAGAAGACATTGACCCATTTACATTTACCTTGACCTCAGGTCACCTAATCATGGGTCGCCAAGGGTCACAACAGCCCCCAGGGTCTTTAAACTCCAAATACCTAGATATTGACGGAATGGCCTTGA